CCCCCCCCCCCCCCCCCCCCCCCCCCCCCCGACACACACACTTTCCATTTCTTATGGAAGCATGTACTTTTGCCCTCTTTCTCTTCTCTCACTCTTTCCCATAACATCAGGTCCCACTTTACTGTCTCCTCTGCGCTTTCGGCTCACGCGAACCCAAAGGTTGCTTGAGGGGAAAGCATGTGTGTACCTGTGAATTAGTGTCCCACGCATGTCTCATCGCCGCCATCAGCACCTTTAACATTTCTCGATCCCTTCTCCCCTCCACCACCAGTTATTAGTAAACATAGGGGGATGAAACGTCTAGCGAGGGTCACCCTGTTGACCTCTCTACAAAGTGTATGGATCTTGTTTGGCGACACACAGCCCAGAGCGATGCCTGAGGGCCAGGGAGTTGAAGACTTCTTCCTTTGCTCTCATTGGAAAATGAGGGGTCAGCAGCAGTCGCACTTCAAATAAGTCATAATTACCTCCCGTCACTGGCTTAATATCTCCACTGAAGACCTGAGCGGGTCAAGCCTGGGTTAGCGCTGCATGTGGGTTCATCATTGTGCTCTATTCAGTGTTTGCGTTGATGTTTTTAACCTACGATGACTTTATTTTTATGTTATGCATGGCAAGCATCCTGTCATCACACTTGTATTATTAACTGAAGCCCAGATGAAAGCTTAATTGCACTACACGAATAATAACCATGAAAAGTAAAGATCATGGCTCTGATCTTTACTTTAAGACTCCGATTCCCTTCTGGTGCGTACGTGTTATTAGTCATAAGTAATGAATAGTTAGGAAAAGCACAATCAGATTGTATTTATTACAGTACTTGTCCTAATAAGAATGACTACCTGCAGTATACAGCAATGCTGTTGCTCTCTCCGCCGGCACCAAAGGGATCATTTCCCCCCCCCCGAGATAATGTTGTGTCTCTGGGTGAAACATCCGTCATCTGTGGCATCTACCTCATTACACAACACTTCCACAATGAAGACGTGATAATGGGAGGAGAACTGTTTCATACAAGCTCAGTGTGTGATTTATCTAAGGCCACTCTCTCTCTCTGTAATTCAAAATACAGCACCACAAGCTGCCTGCTAAATCAAATCATCATACAGCAACTGTGATCCGAGAGGGATACAGCAGCGCCCTACATACTGTACAGTAATGATGAGAATGCAGGTTAAATTGTTGTTCTTGCTTCTTCTGTTTTGTAGGCTTGTGTATGACATGAATGACAAACAGGACAGGACTTATGTGTGCGGCGCCCCGGGCTGCTCTCAGGTCAGTTGGATACAGAGCGTGTGTGTTACACCTGCCTGCAGCTGTAATGACTCTTAGTTTTGCAGGAAATATATATGATTATTATTATCACATTATATTATTAATTCTGGCAAAGTAAAGTCATTTATTGTAGGTGAAATAAAATGCTTTAATATTGCAGAACGTCATGTGATTTTTCATTGTGGACACAATGTATTTCCAGGTTGATAATAATAGGATTGCAATGTGGCATACACTCAAGCCTGTGCTAAAAAGGCCAGTGTGCAATAAAGACCTATAATAAGAGTAAAAATAAATAAATAAACATTACAAATACATTTTTCATTTGTTTTATCATGTGGAGTGATACATATTCCCAGATAGTCAACTGACTTCAGACCATTACAACTGATTACTCAGCTACAAGAGGCGTTGGCTGATTTAACGGAGCGTCCCATGTGTCACGTCAGCACGCATCTCTTCATATCTTTCTCACTCTGTCGGTGTGCTGCAGCGCTTCCAGTTAGAGGAGCATCTGGTCAGCCACAGACGCAAGCACGAGATGTCCCTCAAGTTCTCCTCCATCAAGACGGACACGGCTTTCACAGGTGAGAGAGCACAAAAGAAACCGTGCACGTAAAAGTAAAAGAAAACATTTGGCCTGTCCTCTCTCCCACATCCACCAAGAGCTGATATCTGAGTTTGTGTATCCCCTTATCTCCCCATAACCATAAATAATCTTCCTCATTTTTTCCCGATGCTGTATGTCACTCAGTTCAGCTGTTGTCTGGCTGCATGTGTGTGTGTTTGGTGACCTCTTTTCAGGATCAGTGCTTGATGAAAAAATGATGACGCTAGTTATACAGTATGAAAGCAGATAAGCTCGATACAGGCTTCTTTCCCTCAGATAGTCTGTGTTGTGAAACAGAGCGTCTCATGTTGCAACATGCACAGTATACTCCATCAGATTAGACCGAACATGCTGATAACGCCATGAGTGAAAACCAACTTTGATTGTGGAGGTGTAGAGGGGTTAGCACAAACCTTCTTAAAGATCCTACTCTTTTATGTTTTATATATTTTACTCTTTTATATATATTTATATATATACATATTGGGTAAAGTAAAGGGGACAGGAGATAATCTTAAAATTGGGATGTGAGCAAATGCTTGTGGATACCTCAGTTTTTTAATGTGTGAACCTGGGTTTGCCAATAACACTAGTTTGCTGAGAAATTGCACAAATATCAGATGGACCGATTTTTTAAACCAAGTTTAATTTATGACCACAGCAGTGGCTTACGTACAGTAAATATACCGCAGTGGAGCATATTATTTTTCTTAATTAATCACACTATTGTTTTGTCAGTTAAATGTCACAAAATAGCAAAAGTAGTAAAAAGTAGTAAAAAGTAGTAAAAAGTAAATCACAAATGTCCAGAGCCAAAGGTGACGTCTTCAAATAGCTTTTTTTTAACATTCCAAAACCCAAAGATACTAAGTTCACTGTCCTAAAATACAGAAAAAGGAAGCAAATACTCCCATTTAAGGAGCTGGAACCAGAAAAAAAAAAATCAAATAATAATGATTTTTATTAATAATTCTTATTTTGTTAATTCCTCATCTTCTTCCTCTTCTAATTCTAAAAGCGATCATTCAGTTTCTAATGAGCTGCTAACCAACAATTATTTAATTATCATGGGGTTTAGTGGGGAGATGTTTTGCCCTATGATAGTCTAAATGCTGTTTTAGATGCTTTTTTTTAATTGCAAATTCTCCAGAACCACAGTGAAACTATATGTGTGCGCCGCACGCTGCAACAAATTATTATTGCTGTGCTTTTTACTCCACTGAGACTTTAAATGAAACAGATATTTAAAGACAAAAAATACACATTTTTTGTTCAATCTACCGATCCTGTTCTAAGTCACATCTTTAGAAGCTCCTACAATGCAGTGCATGACGAGTAGCTTCACTCGGCAAACATTTTTTCTACTGCACCACCGCGGTCCAGACTCATGATCATAACACTGTCACGTGACAATGTCTGTAGCTATAGAAACAGCTGTCCATCTGGAAATAAACATGAGCTTGGCATCTAACCTCTGCAGACCCTCCCTCTGCAGCTCTCTCTCTCTCTCTCTATCTCTCTCTCTCTCTCTCTCTGTCTCTCTGTCCTGCAGCCTGTCACGCCTCCTGCAGGAAATCTCATGTCAAAACAAAGAGCCCAGCTGACCTGTGACCCCTGCATGTTTAGACGGCTCAAAGAGACAGACACAGACTGATGTTATCACAGAGAGAGACAGAGAGCACGGCTGAGAGGAGACTTGGTTCTACTCTCAGCTTGGATGACAGTCGATGTTAGAAAGCAAATAAGCTAAAACAGACCAGACTCAGCGATATATAGACGTCTACACATTTTTTAAAACCTGTCCTTTTGTTTATGTGTTTGTCTGTAATGCTTCCAGACCAGACTCCGACGCCAACCCGATTTTTGCAGAACTGTGAAGAGGTCGGTCTGTTCAAGGAGATAGAGGAAGAGTTTCTTCAAGCACAAGAAGAAGAGAAGAGCAAACAGGTACATTAAAAAAAAAAAATACAAACCAAAATTAAGCAGAATTTTAAATATTTTGGCTATTTCTGGCTCAGTTCAGCGTTTTGAGTGACACTTGAGCATGAGGGAGATAAAAGCAGTCGGACCCAATTAGGCGACTGCAGATATCTGACCTGCTGCGAGGAAAGACACACCAGGCGATCACATTCTCCCCTGTAAATTAAACAGCCAGACATCAAACCCACAACGAACACGCAGACGCACACATCAACATCACTTCAGATCACAAAACACACACTAACTCAAAGTAGATACTGCAAGCTCAAAAAAGGTCCCAGCTGACTGTCGCTCCCACTTCTCCCCACAGAGGCTTTCTCATAATGGGCCGCCCTGTATGAACCAGCAGCAGCTCAAACCCCAGCTTCAGCTCCAGCACCCACCCCAACCTCAGCACTCACAGCCGCAGCCACCGCTGCACCATCCTCAGACCCATCCCCTGCAGCACCCTCACTCTCATGGCCCCATGATGGGCCCCAGCTGCAGCCTGGCTGCCCAGCAAGCTCTGTCCTCCTCGCAGTCTGGATCAGTCATCACCCAGGCTTCTTCCACCCTCACACACTCAGGGTGAGTACGGCTGCACACATACACACCTGAGAGGCACTCGTACACACACATACAGTAGAGATTTCACTGTGCATCCATGCAGCTACACTCAGTCCTTCATCACATACACATATTTCCTTTTAATATTGCCTTTTCGCACTCTTTCTTCCTCTCCTGTACCCTGTCTCGCCCATCCTGTTTTGGACGTATTATAACTCATTCTGTCTGGCACAGACTGGCATTTCTCCCTGGATAATTTATCACTGCACTAATGAACTGAGAGAACAAAAAAAATCAAACATCAATTTACTGAGAGAACAAAGTCCTAGCAAAAGAGATGGAGAACCGCTGCACACCACCCACTCAAACCCACTGACACCATCCACCCTGCCACCCAAATACTGCCTCTGTTATGTCTGTTAAGACTCAGAACCAGACTGGAGTCTCTCAGCGCCTGAGCAGCTTCCATGGCTCCCTGGTTATCAGCCCGTCCAACAGACAGATTAGAGGAGTTCCTGTCTTTCATCTGACCAGCTCCCACCAACTGCTTTCCCTCCTCCTGACATTTCAACTTTGGATTTTGGATTTATTGTCATGCATAGACTGTTGCTTTGATGAAAAATGTCACACCAGTTTTAATTGGAGCGTTCTGTTTGATGTGAAAAATAGTAGCGTAATGTGTTAGGTGGGTCAAATTTAAACTTATTCAATTATTCACAGATTTAAATGACTTCAGGCAATAAAAATGGTAACATTGTAGTTGATAATACAAGCAGCTCTTTAATGAAGACAACATAATATGTAACATTTATACATTCTAGTTTTACACTAACGTGAACATTTTGTAACAGGTAACATTTTTAGTAAGACTATCAATGACAACATGCCTGTGACTGCATTAATTTAATCTAATTATAAACATGTATAAATTATGCTTATTTAAAAACTTTAACTTTAACTTCCTTCAGCACCTCCATTTCCACTGCCACATTTATTCGCTAAAAGTCATTCTATATAGTTAGTTTTGTTATTGCTTTGTCTACTAGTCATAGTTATCAACTAATGAATTAAAAGGGGCAGTTTCATTTTTACATTTGTGACACTTTAGCAAATGTTTGTTGGACATTTAATGTCTTTATCGTAGAGTAGACAGGACAGGACAGTGGGCAGTGAGCTGAATCCAGACAGCATGTTAGTCAGTGAAACCAGCTCAGTGTTGCTATATGAAACATGGATCGAGTGTCTGACTGTTTCCCCTCGTGTTTACGACCCGTTTCCATACCGACCTGGTCTCTGAGAGTCTGGCTGTTGGCCCGATAGAGCTGTTGTGGTTACGTTAGGAAATGCTGTTTTGGTTCGTCCGTACTTTGTTGTATGTTAAACGGGCCGCTTACCCCGGATTCAGTGATGACATCATTGCCGATGACCTCAGCACGGCCACGGAGGCCCACGCTGTCCGATTGGCTGAGAGCCAGACCGGTTAGGTCAGCACATGGCACCCCGGGTCTCTACATCCCCCGCTGTGATCCCTGAGCGTCTCCTCCCTCTCAAGCTGTCACTTTTTTTTTTCCATATTTCTGTTTTCTTTCACGTTTTTCACCTCATAATAGTTTCCATTGACGTTGCCTCACCTCAAACCTCTGCTTACGCCTTTTTTCTCGCATACAATAACATTTAGATTGTTTCTGCTTTTGTCCAGATTTTAAGTGTTGGTTCACCCAAATTACGAAACAGCATATCTTCTCATTTACTTCTAGTGGTCTGTAGCTATGTAGATAGTTCAGGTTTTCAGTGCCCACATTTCCACCCCTGAGATTTCTTCCTCCACCCGGTGTTGCCAGATTTGACTGACACCAAATTGCCCAATAAGAAACCAGAACCCACCTTTCTTCCCTTTCTCGTCTATTTTCTCAAATGGGGTGTGATGACATTTTGTTAAAATAACACAGACAAAGACAGACAAAGCTTGGTTGCAAATGTACCTGCAACTCTAGACAACATTAAACACTTAACTTCAGATCATCCCCGTTGAATTCTGTGGCAGAGTGTAAGAAGAAATATGAAGCAGTCATACGACATACCTCGTAAGATATATGTTGTTCTAATAGTATAAGTTTAGGCACACTCAAAACCACCAGTTACAATAATGAGAAAAGGTATGCTTTATATCTTTTGTTACAATAAACAGATATAACAGACATGAACAGATGAAAATGATTTTACAAGCACTTTATCACATGTGGTATGAAGGAATAATTATTTGTACAACAAAAAAAAAACTGCCCACATGATACAAAAAGTAATCCCCACATTTTCACAAACTGCTCAAAACCATTTTTACTCACCAAATAAAATAAAAAGTAGCTCATTTGGGCCAAATCTAGGATGTCAGTACAGTGGAGGTGAATAGAATTAAGAGTGTGGTGCTCACAGTGAAAACGGAAACAACTCTTTCCAGTCACAGATGTCCCTATTATTCTGGATAATCCACAGAACAATAGTTTTCACAGGGACTCATTTTTCAGCAGGAAGTATAGTTCCAATGAAAAATGTCCACAGTGACGTCTGTGGATTATTTAGAATAACTGCAGCATTGTTTCTGAAAAGACACACAGCAAAAAAAAATTAATTTCTCAATTTTTTGAGCACCACAAGTAGAATTCCAGCCACCTCCATTGTGTTGGGGTGGAGGCAGAAAAGATATTAGATAGATATTTCAATGGATACCTCATACGGTAAGTCATAAAAAAACAGCTCAAATCAGTGACAGATTGAGTCCTTTCATAGTAGATTTGATCATAATTCCCCTTCTATGACCATCTATGTCAGTCTCGCCTCCATCTGCCATTAAAGCTATAAATGTTTCAACTTGAAGCCTCTCTGTGAACTTGATTAGTGAAACTTTAGCTGTGGATAGCTCTCTGGCTTGACCCGCCCCTCTCTCTCTTTCTGTGGCTGACCACAGGCCAGTTCCCGGGTCACTGTCGTCCCTCCTCCACATGCGGAACAGACAAAGACAACCGCTGCCAGCCTCCTTACCTGGCACCCTGCCAGACCCCGCCATGCAAGGGGCATCTGCTCAGCACATGCCTGTAAGTATACGGGAGACTGGTTACTCACACATTTGCATTCAGACGCGCGTGCATTATGATTTATAGATGCAGGGATAGTGGCCAAAGTGGTCAAGATCCCCGAGTTAGAAATATTCATGGGTGACAGAAAAAGTCACTTCACTCTTGTGAATTAAACAAGTGTCAAACTCCAAATGGATATGGACCTTGTGGGGAACGCTTTATACTTGAGGTTATGTATGTGCTATAGCTTTTCCTTGTCACAGTTGAAAGGTTATTTTTGTGTCAATTTCTTTCCTTCTTCAGATAGAGAAGCAGATGTCGTGTATAATGGGTATACCAGGCCCAGGACACAACCCCTCCTGTTCCTCGCCCCAGGTACTGACCACATTCTTACTCTATGCCATTGTTTATTGAGTATTAAAGGAATAGTTTGACATTTTGGGAAACACAATTATTCACTTTCTGAAAGAGATGTGGATGAAGATGTCATATTTGTATGGTAAGTATGAAGCTACCACCAGCAGCTGGTTAGCTTAGCTTAGCATAAAGACTGGAAACATCTAGCATGGCTCTGTCCAACAGCAACAAAGCCCCCCTACTAGCACCTCTAAATCTCACTAGTTTCACTAACTGAAGTGTAAAAATTACAATTTGCCGTTATAGGGGCCAGACTATTTCTTGGTTGGGAGCAGTCATTTCCTGCAATCTCCGCTGATTGCCTGGCAACTGCTCAGAGCCAATAAATAGTAAAACATGAAATTGACGTTTTCACTCTTTTGTCCAGATTACGCATGCTAATTAGAGTTCTTCAGAGGTGCTGGTAGGTCATTTTTGTTACCTTTGAACAGAACCAGACTAGCCGTTTCCTTCTGTTTCCAGTCTTTATGCTAAACTAAGATTACCGTCTGCTGGCTTTAGCTTCATATTTTCCTCATATTGAACAGACGAGAGTGGTAGCAATCAACGAGCTATACCTTTAAGTTGTTAATGATTTCACTATTCTCATCTCTACTCTAGAATTAAAGCCATAAAACACACTCATATTCTGCCTTTGGCTTATTTTTCCCTAATCAGTATAGACAGGAAACTGTATAATTCTACACTTTAACAGACTCACACACACGCACACACACACAGGTCCGCACCACAGGAAGTCACAATCTACATGCTCTCAGCGGATTTCTTGGTTGTTTTATTTCCCTTGTGTCAACATGCTCTCAATCCCTCCTCTTGTCAATTTTACATTTCCTCTTTCTAGGTGCATGTAGTATGAATTATTAAATATGTGTGCTATCAAAAGCAACTTCAAAAGGAAAACTGTGAAATCGCCCTGCATCCATAAACACACACACACACACACACACACACACACACCCACACACAGGTTATGACTTCATGTGCAGAGCTTGTATATAGAGTGGCAAACTAAAAGTGGTTTTAGGTTTCAGAGCTGCTCAGGTCGCAGGTTCATATCTGAAAATCTCTTCTTTGAGCACACACACTTCTTCTCCAGAACAATTCAATTTAATTATATTGTGATTTAGTCTTGCCAGGTGTTTTTTTTGCATTCCGAGGGTGTGAAACAGCACTCCTTTGTAAAACCACAGATGGTGTATGAACATGCCTCCGTTGTACAGTAACTCCACACTCAGCTGAAGTGAAAAAGTAAACGTTTAACAAGTGGATCAGTGTTTCATGTACAGTTCTGTGTCTTCATTCACTGATCCCTCCAGACAGAAATATCAACGTGGTGTGTCATCCAGGCCAAGGAGACCCATGATGTAACCACAGGCCCCAGTGTCAGGGTGTTTCTATGTAGTAAACAGAGCTGAACCACTCGTGTCCCGTCCTGTTCAGTGTGTGTGGCTGTGCATGTGTGTTTGACTGCCAGCCTGGTAAAGCTGGCACAGACAGCTCGGTGACCTCATCCTTGGCACCCGCTAAATGTGCTCCCTTTTTTCGTTGTTGAATGGTTGCAGAGGGGGGGAAAAAAATCAGCTTCTTCTCTTAAAGAATTATTGTGTAACAGGGAACAGATAGCAATTTGGCCAGCGAGGGGAGGGTGGGTGGGTGGGTGGGGGGGTGATGTCATGCTCTAAACATGACCTCTCCCTCTCTGCGTCTCCTCTGCTTAGTGTAGGAGAAAGGTGAGATGAGGTTTAATTTAGCTCTTACAGTGTGTTTAGTCAGTTGATACGTGGGAATGATAAAGTGTGAAGGTATCAAGCTGCAGACTGCAGCATTTATTGGAACACATTATCCCTCTTATCTACAGTTGTTTTCACGGTTGTGGATAATTAGGAGAAAAGGCGATGATGGGCTAAGTGGGAGTTGGTGGGCTAACAGCAGTTGTAGTTTTTATTTTGAGACATTTTGCTCCGTAGAGTAAGGATACTGTGGCCTGCAATGTAGGTTACGTGGCTTATCTGCTGTTACCAATTTAGCCGGTGTTGGGGGTCATACAAACCACACCCAGTATGAGAGAGACGGAAAATGTTTATGTATATCGTGAAGCTCTTCATATACAGTGTTTAGTTTCACACATATCAACTCAAAGGTGGTTTAATATCCCTGGGTACAAAGTGTTCAGACATACTGTATGTGGAAATATATGTTCATGTTTCTCAATTGACTCTCTTTAAAGTATTTGAAAGTTACTAATGTGATGAATTTTATAACCTATACTTTTTGTGAAATAATAAAGCTGGCTTAAATATGGCATATATTTCCAGGGGAGTTGTAAAATGGCTGATTGTCAGGAAGTTTTTAACTAACACAGAGCCAATTGATGTAAGGAGGTCTCCAGTTGCCAGGGCTTCAGGTGTAATGTTGAAGAGTGTGAGTGAGTAGGGTATGGGCCATGAGGAATGGAGGTTTGTAATGAAAACGCATCTTGATCCAGGCTTAAGATGTTCCCAAATCTTCTCAGTGCTTCAAAAAGATAAGTCCATTCTATACGTTTGTTGGCCTTTTTGGGGTTTTCGATTACGTAATGGCCACGTCAGAGGCCCTTTCATGCTCAGAATGCAAATAGTCATAATACGACACACATAAGACAATGATTCAACCGGGAGATAGAACTGTAGTTAGCAGGATCTGTGGCATCTTTGCCCTTCTTTAATAACTTTGTATATCTTTGTACATAGAGTCCTCAATTATTTTCAGTAGGATTGGTGTAAAAATCTCACATGTCCAATAGAACTCAACCTCAAATCCATCTTGGCCCAAGTGAACTTAATGTCATTGGTACTCAAAAGGCTTCCACTAATGTTTAGCAACTAAAGCAACTAAATTCCTCTTGCCTTAAATAGTAGTTAAGAAATGACTTGCAATAACCAGCTCCTACCCAGTGTCACTGGGGCTTGGCCCTACACGTCCCAGCGTGCAATTAGTTCACCAGCCTGGTTAGAAAGTGGTTGTCAGTAACGTTCCGAGAGGCCATAATAAACTCAGAATGAATCTGAGAGGATGTGAAAATACACAAGTTCTAATGAGAATGTCAATTACTGAGGCTCCACTGTGTATATCTTCTTCTCTGTCTGTCGGAACTGAACGTGTACATTGGTTTAGGAGATTACCCTGATGGATGCACATGTGGTGATATGTAATCAAATCTGTCAACAAACAGCACTGTACATCGACTGGACAGTCTACATAAAGGATGTCACTGTGGTTGTTTCTTTCTCGTATTTCATGTTTTATGCAACTTTAAATGCTTTGTACAGTGCATCACATGTACACTAATATTACATCTCATCTTTTAATCTCCTCTCAGAGATCCAAACAGGCTCTGGGCCACCATTTCCAACAGCACCACCCAGCAATGGTCGCCGTCAACAACCCGGTGACATCCATGGGTCACATGATGGACATGATGTCACAGCGTCATCAGGCACCTCCACTACAACACCACCACCATCATTCTCATCATCCACAGCTTCAAGCTCCACCCCTCACCTTCCAGCAGCGATGCCATGCTTCACCTCCGGAGCACATGGGAAGCAGCCACGGCCACCATGCTCAGGCTCACCAAGCCCCGCCTCCACATCTGCACCAGGGCTCGCCTCCTGCACCTCCCCTGTCTGTTCCAGCACAGGTACATTTGCTTTATGTTTATCGATCAGCTCAGTGACGATACACCTATGACTTCATACTTTTTGCATTCAGGCACAGTGAGGTGACTTTGAAGATGTTTTTCTTTTTTGCTTGTAGTTATCACCAGTTGCACAGCAGATGCAGTCCTCCCATCCATCCCACTCCCAGCATGCAGTGCAGGGAGGTGGTAGCTGCAGCGTTGAAGGAGGCGGCGGCAGCAACCGTCGCAGGAGGACGTCGGAGCAAGACCCTGACGAGCGCAGGCAGAAGTTTCTGCAGCGGAACCGGGCTGCAGCCACCCGCTGCCGACAGAAGAGGAAAGTGTGGGTGTCGTCGCTGGAGAAGAAAGCTGAAGAGTTGACGCACACAAACCTGCAGCTACAGGTGGGACACGCTCTGAACACACACAAGCCCACACAATCTTAACTTCAAGGATACTTAGTATTTCTCTGCCTGTTCCCAGAACGAGGTGACGTCATTGAGGTCAGAGGTGGGTCAACTGAAGCAGATTCTGCTCACCCACAAGGACTGTCCCGTCACCGCCCGGCAGAGAGCGGCACAGGGGTACCCCAGTGAGTAAAACCCCCTACCCTGCACTTCCTCTCTAGAACTCTCACCAGCTTTTCCAGATGCCTGACACCAATCATCTCCATCCACCACAGAGGGTATAATTCAGATACCTTATGCCTTGTATGTGCACATAAGGGGATACTCCACGGTTACATTTTGTCGTGTTATGGTGCTCCACCCCTGGGCAGACATAGGGACCTTGAACTGTATCTCACAGAGTGCAACTAAACAGCACTTAAGACTCTGCTTTTCACCCCATTCTCCAAAAATTGGTACATGCACTTTTATTCCTATATGGAGAGGCAATCAGGGGAAAGCACTGCACTCTTAACTCTCCATTTAAAGGAATGCATTTTTCATTTCCATTTTCATACTCATTCAATGAACCATGACGGTATTTGAAATACTCTAGAGCAGTGGTTCTCAACCTGGGGGTCGGGATGCATCGAGTCGTAAGATCATTTCCCGGGGTTCCCAGACATTGTTTTTATTACATACTAAATATAAAGATGAAATTAAAAAAATGTTAAACTGGGGAATGTTTTTTACACTACATCGCCTGTACCAGTGATATCATTTTCCTCACAATAGATTTTATTGAGTGTGGGGCGACTCGGAAACATTGAGAACCGCTGCTCTAGACTGCAATGCAATATTCTGTCATTTTGCCTTGCATGAAGTTGCTTGGAACACAATGCAGACGATGCCCATCTTGCACTCAAGGCAGGCTAATGTTAATGTTCAACAATAATTGAACCTGTATACGACCTTAAAGGAAAGAAACAAATACTGCACCTTGTGGCTTAAATGAAAGCAGCCATTGTGTTCTCAGTGTTGAGCTTCAGAGAACAAAAGTGGATGCAATATTGGCATGTGTTACTTTCGTATATTTCTATTGTTGTCTTTTTACCTGTATGTACAGTATTCATTTGTTGAAAATAAAAGAGATATTTTCCTTTAATCTGAGCTGTAGTGAGTTTTTCATTCAGTTTGTGAGCATGCACATGCTCACAAACCCCGCACACAGAACAGACAATCCACACAGGATCTGTGACTTTGATTGACAGCTGTCTTTGTGTCCAGCTGCAGGGGTGAGCCCAGGCGGAAGTCCCACCCCTGTAGGTCCTGGGTCTCATCTGCAGGCCATCCAACACAACAGCATCTCCACGTCCTCGACGGCTGGAGGCGACACTGGGCACGACCCCAGGCCTGGACGTTAGCCCTCACCACACAGAGGAGGGGATGGGACTGGATGGCTGCCAGACTGAATTATCTTTCTGTCAAAACTACACTAAAGTCTCACTCAGCTGCGGATCCGTGTGTCTTTACATTGTAGATGAAATACTGAACTGGATAGGTGAATTTAGAAATCCATGTGAACACTGAGGTATTTTTCTTTTCTGGTTGGAGAGGAGACCAGAACCACATACGGATACATTTCCATAACCGGTGCAAAAATGACCTTTTCTGAAAGCCTTGTTAAAACCTGTGATGGTTACATGGCAACTGGATCCTGTGTTTATTCAGAAAGTGTTTCCGTTCACAGCAATCTAACCATTGCCTGCTACCCGCTGACTATGCACAGACACAACCATACACATTGTTTCAGTATGTTTTCCTCTTATACCTTGCACTTTAGTTTTATATTTCAAACAGAGCATCTGCGAGCGCACACCTTCTGCCTTGTCTTATCAAAGCTATGTATTTTTCATGCTAAGGCAAAAAAATTTATATTTAAAATTTTAGAATCGAACCCACAGCTGTTCTGGAAAGCCATTTAGAACAGGATTGTACAGTATTTCCTTTGACACACTTTTATAAACTGCCCAAAGACACGAAATAACTATAAACTGCACCCTAATTCCCAATCCCTGTCAGTCAATAATAAAAACTCTTATTCTGGTATTTCCTTGTGTTTTTTTAAATATCGTTTTCCTATGATATAAAATCTGTCGCATTTCTTTTACACTATAAACCTGTGGTTTTGAGCAATGAGATTATAGTTATCAATTTGTTTCTGTGCATACAGTATGGTCTAGTCTGCCATCTAGTGACTGCTTTTGTCAGTGATAGTTGACCGTAATAACTGGAGTGGTCAGCAAAGCAGACCATAGCCTATTTTATGTTTGACCAATACAAAGATATAAGTGTGTCTGAAACACAAAGAAAGTTAAAATAGCCATTTGTCTTTTATTTAAACAATGAATTTGTCTGGCAGCAAATGAAAGTGTCCCAAACTTAAGGACTTGATTTTGGTACCAGCTGCAGACTCTTCAGTTTGTTTAATTAAAATATTGTTTGCGTTTTTTGTCAAAAGCTTTCCGTTCTGACATCTTGAGCGTCCGCCTGGTGATATGAATATAATTTGCATGCGTGCAATTGTGCATATGGATGGATGTGTGTGTACATATGTGCATGTGTGCTTGATTTGGTCAAAGTGTGGGAGGCACTCCACCCTGTCTACTCCAACAAAGGGACTGCTTAACTATTGCCAGACCTCAACTTGATGCACATGCAAAAGCATGGATGCACGTGCTCACACACATACACACACACACACACACACACACACACACGCACACACACACACACTCTTCGGGTCTGCCCCTTAAGCACTATATATCAGTTGCAGATGAAAGAATCATTAATTGCTTCATATTTGAAAACACAAGAAATGTATTAATATACTGCTAAAATTACCAGTGACACATTTTGACTTTTAAAAACAGTATCCTAAAACTATAGTATTGTTTTGAGCAGTCGGAAAATAATCTGGCATGCATTTTTCTGAATGTATATATGAAATACTCTTCATAACCCCCCCTAGAAATATAATCCCTTTGTTCTTTACATAATCAGTGATTTACATAATAGATATTTGAAAGCGACAGATATAGTAACATCTGTTATAGAGGTAAATCATGCATAAAGACTCAAATGACAAATCAATCACATTGTTGGGGATTTTACTGCTTCATGTAATGCAGGTTTATATATAAAAGTACAAAACACGATAGATGTGATACAAAACAAGTGTTGTTTTCCCTGCCAACCAGCAGCCATCATTACATACTGTACAAATATGAGACAACAGGATGTCTACGAACTCAACAATAGCACCATAGTTGAAATCAGTGAGCAATCATTCGTGCGTATACACACAACGACTCGCACATTTAGGAACACTTGCAGGTGCAAGGAAATGAAAGAGGAAAGGCACAAAGCAGGAAGAGGAAGTCAGAGGGATTGGACTTCCTCTGGTGTCTGAAAGGGTACTGATGAGCTCAGCTGTTCTATTGTCACTTTAAAAGCTTTCTTTTGGTCAAATGAGAAACCAAGACACAAAATGGCGGGACTGATGCCTTGGTTTGTTCACAGCCACAAACATTCATGTTTTTAATATGATACCGAGGTCTGGGGACAAGACCAAAGATTGCACCAAAAGCCAATTCACATGTCTCTCTGTTGGAAGTGTTATGGCTCTAGTCAGAGAATCTCTGCATGTCGCCGTCTCTGCGAACACTGTTGCTGTCCAGAAAGCGGTCACAAGGGAACTCGATGAGGTCCCCTTCCTCTAGTGGTGAAAGACGTGCTGGACGGCTGCTTTGGTAGCTGGTGAAGTCAGCAGACACAGAGGCGGTCGTCACGGCGGGACGATACGGTCGCCGGGTGGAGTACATGTGCCGCACGTGCACCGCCGTCTTCCTCCTCTGCAGCCTCCTCTTCAGGCTCCGCCCCAGCCAGACCCCGCCAATGACAAGCAGCAGCACGGCGTTCCCGGCCAGTGTGGCCACCGTCACCAGCTGGAGGTCAGAGGTCAGCATGCCTCCATGGCTGAAACCCTCAGGGAGAGTGACCAGCCCTGCACAGTGGTCACGGGGTGCAACTTGACACACAGACCCTCCAACTACTCCTTCCACACAGACCATGTAGGTCACATCAGAGCTGAGTTCTCGAAGGGTTACGGAGCGAGCTGTGCCACGGGCGTAGACATAGCGGGGGAAACGGTCCGGAGTGCCAAAGCGGTCAAACAGAATCCGGTATTGGACTTCATCTAGGCCTGGCCCAAGTGCTGGTATGTAGCGGTGATGATCCCTGGTGGTCCAGTAGATGGTGACAGTACTAGATGTCACTTGATCCACTGAAACATTAGTGATGAAATGGCGGTTGAACACACAAGGATCTGTGATTACAGGCTGAGCCTCCTCCTGATCGGACCTCAGAAGGTCAAACTTTTCTCCTGGCTGGACCGGAGAAGTGGTGGTGAGCCCTGTGTTTGGATCAGTGGAGTTTCTATCTTGGTTTCCAGCATGACTTGGTGTAGAAATAGCTGGTGGATCGGTTCTGGAAATGGTATTTGACCTTCGTCTACCTTTGGTACGTTTCCCAGCAGCCTCTGCAGCAGGTCGTGACCTCGGGCTGAGTGGCTCTTTCTTTAATTTCTTTCTTTCCAGTGAAGAGGAGGGCTCTGCCTCTGCTAGACCCCCTTGGTCTCCCTGGATTCCCAGGACACCCTCCTCCTGTCCTTTCTTCCTTTTCTCTCGCTCTTTCCTCATTATAACTCCGTCCGTATACCCCTGTCTCAAAGCAACACCTTCTGTCTCCTCTGCCAGGACTTCTTCACCTCTCCCCTCCTGCTTCATTGTATCCACCATCCCTACCTCTTTTCCCTCCACCTTTACCAACACACCCCCTCCCTGGCTCTCCTCAGGCTCATCTTGGCTCCTACACAAGTGGGTCCAGTTCCCGAGGGGCTGCAGCTGGGAGCTGTTCAAATAGTCCAGATATTTCCCCCTCAGTGTTGCTGGGTGGTGACATTGCACAAAAACAGTCAATAATTTGCCCTGAGAATGCGCAACAGTCATCCATCTTTTCAGCTCCTCCAGCCGACAGTCGCACGTCCAGTTGTTGCCATGGAGGTCCAGGTTGTAAAGCACGTTGTTGAGGGCAAAAATGTCCCCGGACAGGCTGGAGAGCACGTTGTCCTTCAGCTTCAGCACTCTCAGGTGTTTAAGTTGTGAAAAAGCCAAAGAGTCCACGCTGGAAATCCGGTTGCGACTGAAGTCCAGCTCCTCGATGCGCTCCAGAGAGTCCAGGAGACCGGCGGGGATTTCCTCCAGCTCGTTGCCGTCAATCAGAAGCTCTCTGAGGCTTGACAGCCCCTTCAGAGCCCCGCTGTCCAGGCGAGAGATTCTGTTGTTGCTGAGGGACAGTTTGGACAGCTTTTTTAGGTTTTGGAAGACGTGGTTTGCGACGTACTGGATTTTATTTTCAGACAGCAGCAGAGTGGTCAGAGCTGTGAGGTGGGAGAAAGTGAGTGCATTGCGCACGGCTGACTGCTTGTTGTGGGCCAGGTTTAGAAAGCGCAGGTTGATGAGTTTAGAGAAAGCGTTTCTGTGAATATGCTGCAGTTTGTTGGATTCCAGGTGGAGATAATGTAGGCTGGTCAAACTTTTAAAAACAGAGTCTTGCAGAACGTCTATTGAGTTGCCATCCAGACGCAATTTAACAAGATGATCCAAATTGGTAAAGAGCTCCGGTGTGATTTTCTTAATGTCATTATTATTTCCACAAAGAATAGTTAATTGCTTCAGGGATTGTAAAGTCCCAGCGGGTATATTTGATAAACTATTATGTCCCAAGTACAGCTCCTCCAACTTGGAGAGTTTCTCGAATGCTTTTGGGTGAATAGTTTGTATCTGATTGTACTGTAAATTCAACCGTACGAGGTTACTGTACCGTGTGAAGTCGAAGGCAGAGATGTTACTAATGAAGTTACCACCAAGGCTGTAGATTAGCACTTCTTCGGGCACCCGTGCGGTAGGTTTGGGCACAGTGCGCAACCCTCGATTGGTGCACATGAGGTGCTGCGGGTGCTGACAGTCACAGCTGTCGGGACAAAAGCTCGTCGCCTGGGAGGAAAAGATGAACCCGTTGAGCGACAGCAGGAAAAAGCAAGTCCTCACCAGGAAATAGCCGGTGTCCATTCCCACTGTGCGGCTGGCACAGCCAGAAACTGATGCGGCATTCGCTTTACGTTGTTCAGGTGCAGTCGCCCCTCTGCTCTCTCACGCGCAAAATCGAGTCGTCCATAATGCACTTGTTGCTCTTAAAAAGTGGAGAGAACAGCGCTGCGCACATCAAGCACGTGGCTCTATCACTTTTCAGCATCTTCTATAGACCAAATTAATTTGTGCAGTGTGCTCTGATGCTATCTGAGGGAGCGCTCACCACCCCAATAAAGCCTCCATCCCCCCAAGTGGTCATCTGCTGCGAATTACAGAGTTCATGCGCAAAGCGTGCTCACACACAGACACACACACACACACACACACACACACAGAGGGAAATGGTCCCTCCCCCGCAACTCTGCGACCCTGCCAAAACCAGATGTGCACAAGTCTTGACACACGAGATCCAGAGTTTTGCGCGTGCACGCAGGTAATTAAGCACACACTGACTTGCCTGCACAGTGAGAGAGGGAGGGAGAGAGAGACATTGAGAAACCCTTTGACCGAGTTTTCTGCGCGCCCCCGCAGCCACCGGGGGTCTGAGATCTGGATCGGATCCCTGATATGGACAAAGCAGACGAGAAGATTTCCTTCCCACGGAATCCCAAGAGGAACCCAAAGTCTTAGGTTCCCCTGCAGATAGAGCAAACTCACTCATGAAACAAGTTTAACAAAACGCTTGAATTCATGTTATCATATGTTTTTGATAAGCTATGAAAAATGATAATTCATAAAACAGCTGTATAGCCTAATGAACAGCTATGTGGTGTATTCTGCTAGCTGAGCTGTCTGAGGACAGACATTGCATACAGTGAGCTACAATCAACACATCAACAGCCCAGTCTGCACTCTGTAGCCTACAGTAAGAACGCCATCATCATGCAGCTGAACTGTAATTTACCATTCTCTCATTAACGCGCCTTGTATTGCTGGGGCCACAAGGAGCACAGATGGTTCACATTTGCAGATGAGGAATTCGGGACGTTAAGTGTATGTTAAGACTGAGGAGGAGAGGTGCCAAATCTGAGTGAAAGATCTTCCAACTTGAAATTATAGGGGAATAAATGCAAGGCGTGTGGAGCATGTGCAGATTTTGCTCAGAATTTTTTGCAGATTGAGGAACGATTCTCAGTGTAGCCGAGCCTACATGAAGGTTTATGTTCCAGTCCTGTCTGAAAAACATGCGATGTTACTGCCAAGACATCTGCACATTTATGGCACATGAGGTAAAGCGCTTACTACGGTACAAATAGATTAGTGTTTCCCGGCCTTTCCCGTCCGATACACAGCCCTGTTGGATGAGCTCAAGCTCTTCTCTATCTACACCACATCCCATCATTTCTAACTGGATGATATTTGAATGATTATATATAAAATTGGATATTGTTACATTATATGTTCATACTTAAATCATCTATATTAGAGTTGATTTGGTCACGTTTGCATTCACAGCCTACTACTTGGAGAGGCAAGTGGTTTCAACCGTTTATTCTTTTAGAAAACTATTTAAACTTTATACTTTACTTTTAGCAAACTGCTTCAACTTCTGTGCTGACATGCTGATACGTTTTCACACACTCTCAATAGCAACATGTGAGGTAAAGGTCGGTGAACAGAGAATAAGCAGCCCTAACTTACATACTCATGCACAGAGTCACACATTTACGTGCACACATGCAACTTCCCCCGAGAAGCAGGTGATGCAATGGTTTCCAGAGCCGAGCTAATGGATGACTGTTGTATAGCTCCATGCATTTCCAGCACGCAGCAGAAGCCTCAAAGACACCCTGATTGGCCTTCTCGTTCTCATGCATATCTGTTGGTAGACATCATAGACATTATAGCTGTGTGTGTGTGTGTGCGTGTGAGAGACAGAAAGAAACACAACCCTTGGGGAAGCCCCCTCTCTGTGGGAGGTCATTTCCTGTCTGGCCATTTCTCCATAGTATTTCTACATCCCTGCAGCCCCCCTATCCCTTTCTGTCTCTCTGAGGAACACATACATTGAGAAAACACTCAGAGATTTGGCCTCAGACACAGTGAGACCAGTCCAGTTAGTTTTATGGCTGTCGCCTGGTCTCTATCAGAGTTGAAAGGAATACAACAAAAGATTTCATCAGCATGGATTGGCTTACACCGTAGTTGAGCTTAACTTTAATGTAGTAACATTTGGAGGAAGATAAGGGTGAAGGATCATTCCCAAGAGAGCTCAGTGTGTAAAGGAGATGGACAGATAGCATGAAAGATGGAAACAGGCGAAGAACAAAATAAAAACAATCTGAGGAAGTAAATGAGAGCATGGGATCGGGGGAGGAGTGGGTGCAATGTAAGACTGATGTAGACAGAGATTGTTGTGAGGGAAAAAGTGTTCTAGTTGACCCAGATTCATGAAGACTCTGGCACATTAGGCAGCATTGAGGACCCGTACAGAGCTGTCTGCCACTGTGCCTGCACACAATGGCGGCTGCAGACCGGTTTTACCATCCCCTCCTTTCATCACCTCCCTCTCCTCCCTCCGGGCCTCTCACAGTCCAATCAACCGACCATATGACATTTGAGTCTCTCAGCAGAGAGAGAGAGAGAGAGAGTGCGTATGTGGAAGAGAAACCTAATTCCATCAGAGGGGGAAAGACAGAGAGAAGGGCTTGTATATCCGTCTGCACCTGAGCGTGCCTGTTTCATGGCACTGACTAATTCTGTGTTTTTGCCAAAGTATGTCTGCATGTAACAAAGAATATCCAGGTCATTGCAGGTAAGCTTGTGTGTGCATGTCAATGAGCTGATGCTGCAGCGTATGTAGGTCACTCAGGAGTGTTACATCTCTCCAGCACAGTCTTTAGGTGTTCAAACAGCTTTTCTGTGAATGAGGGAAAGGGACAGAGAAGAAGAAGTGTGTGTTTGGAGGTGAGGAATAAAGTCAGTTTGTCAGTCTGCATGATGTGTGATTATACCTGGTTTTATTATATGTATCCTCTGAGGTGGAAGTAACTAAATAGAGTATTCATATTTTGTGACTTCTCATATTTTTACTCCACTATTTTTTTAAATGAGACGTTGTGCTTTCTATTCTTCTGAATAAGCTCTTTTTACAGCAGACATTTCCACTCATAATAAGAAATGCACAGGTGTTATTAATGATGTTAACGAGGGCTCCATTATGTTCAAATGGCCCAGCATGTACAATGCCGGGGCTACATTCAAAATCACTACCTATTTACTACATAGTGAGCACCACATTTACAGCCCGCCATTTCATTTGAGTGTCAGAAATTAGAGTTAAAATAGTGCCCTTCCACACCGAAACGAAAAGAGTGTTCATGGTGTGTTCACTGCTTTCTGCTAGCAATCCCACAATACAATGCTCAACCTTTTATAAAGTTGTAATATTACATTTGCTCGACCCAACACCTGTCAGTCATGATGCAAAAATAAAATACTGACTTTCCATTGTGGTGAATGAGCAAACAAGGGAGCGATTTCAAACACAGGACCCTGAAACTAAATCAGTTATGGGATTCAGTCATCATTATTTCTATCATTTCCACCTGTGCTTTTCTGCGTGAAAATGTCTGAGAACTTTATGAGTCAGTGGACCTTGAAGGGAAACTGTTTCGTTAACTGACATTTAAGGTCGAGAATAAAGTTTGAAGTTCAACCTTTGAGTCAGCGTGAAGATCATGTCCTAAAAGTGCTTAGGATAGTGCAAGATTTAACGCCATGGCTCAATGTTCAATTTGACTTCAAACAAGCACGAAGCAGTTCAAAAATATTCAACCGTACAGTGTTAAAATTCAGCTTAGATTGGTGCATTAATAATTAAATACACCAAAGAGAACACTTCTCTAGAATGAAACCCTTTTTCATCACAGACTTTTCCTTTTTCAATTTTTTTTAATTCAAGAATTTAACTTTACTACACATTTTGTACAAAGGTATTGCCTTCAAAAGGAATTTTCCAAAATGTTAAGAAAAACAATTTCTTGACAAGAGTTAGAAGACAATATTGATACCACGTAGTAAATATAAAGACTGGAATCGGGCAAACAGTCTGGCTCTGTCAAAAGGTCACAAAATCTGCCCTCACAACCGCTAAAGCTTTTTAATTAACACTTTATCTTCAGGCCAGACTAACTGTTGGCCTCTGTTTGTTGTCTTTATGCTAACCTAAGCTAACCATCTCCTGGTTGTTATTTCATATTCACTACATGAGAGTGGTATCCATATTCCCACCTAACTCCCAAATATTTAATGAATTAAGTACATTTAAAAGTCCCACACATTGCAGCAAGGCTAAAATGTCCAAAGAGGTCAAATGCTGTATCTTACCATGCTGTGACAGAGAATGCACACAAGTAGAGATGAAGTACTAAAACACATATACACGCAAGACTATACAAATCACATTAAACACTGTTAGTGATACTCTTGAAGTGATCGTTTATCATGTAAAACATTCCCAGAGACATGCCAAAATGTACACCAATGTACGCACACAGCAGGACAGACAATGTAAGGGACTAATGAGCCTCACACAAAGACACAAACTTGCGGGAAGTTGTGCTAATGGAAACATGAGAGTCCTATTGTGTGTCAGAATGCAGGGATCTTGGCGGCTCACTCTCCCCTGAGGGCCCAACAGAGATAATCCGTATGGGACACGTCCTGGTAACATAACACTGCATGAAACTAGCACATGGGGCTTATCATAGTAATCAGTGTAAAGGATGCGGCCGCAGTAAAGATGAACCACATGCTTTGTTCCCCAGATAAGCCCTCCAACGTGGCGCCATAGAAAACTGTCCAAACAAATAACAAATGGTCCCTCTGTATGGCAGAGTTGAAAATCAAGTGTAGGTCCATTTGTGCGTGAATGTGTGTGTGCACTTTTGTTTATGAGCATGTATTTGTGTGATGTCTATGTTTGAAGAGTTCCTTAGTTTCTGGAAATAATCAATCTGCAAGGATAAAGAAGACAGAGCGAAGCAGAGGGAAGGAAATGAGGTGACAAGGAAGTGGGATTGTGTGTGTGTCTTTATGTGTGTGAGGAGAGTTTACACGAGCAGCAGCTGCTGGGATCGTTAAGTGCTTTAGCTAGAGCAGGGAATCAGATCTAGTCCATGCTCACACGCATTAACGGTGTGTGTGTGTGTGTGTGTGTGTGTGTGTGTCTGTATGTTTGGATGAGTGTGTTTATACACTTAGAGGGAGATGGTGAAAGAGAGTCCATCCTCTCCGTGCAACATGTGTCTGCGACTCCACTCACACGTCGCTGTGAGCAGAGATTGAAGACGCTGTATGTTATACAGAATGCAGACACATTTTAGGTGCACCTACATGAATATAAATGATAGAAGAAGAGTGGAGGGAACACCTGGACCCCATGCCCCTAACATTCACACTGCTCCCCTGCACAACTACCCCAGTTGGTTCCCATCACAGGAAGTAGAAAAAGGAGGGGAAAAAATGGAGGAGACAGAGAGTCTAGTTCCAGTAACTTGAAGAAACTTCTGTAGTGCGCAGAAAATACCAACAATCTAATCGAAAAATCAGAGCTTGTCACAAACAGCTGGCGCTGAAAATGTACCGTGGACCGAACGGCTGATTGCAATGTGGGAAACGCGTTTGCCTTAGCATTCCTTTCTGCTTTGGGAGAGCGCCATGCCTCTCCTGCTTGACCTCCTAGGGTCATGTTTTGTCGTTGAGCCCAACATGTTGAACGAGCCGGGGTAGGGGAGAGAGAAAGAGGGGAGGAGGAGAAGAGAGAGGGAGCGAGGGAGGGAGGGCAAAAATTTCCAGGTTTCAGTCAACCCTGTGAGACTTAAAAATGGAGGGAATAGAGGAGGGAAAGGGAGGAAGGGAGGTACTTTACATCTGGAAAAAATTAAAGAGCATGCTATTGCCCTGTCGAAGAGAGAGGAAGGGGAGGTAGAGGAATAAGGAGGGCAGTGTAAAGGATAGACTGTGTGTGTGTGTGTACTGGGAGGGCAACCCTTTGATCTACCGAGTTTGATAGGAACTGTCTGCATGCACATAATCAGCCTCAATCACATAATAACACGGAGACAACGTAATGCCTTAGCATCTTTAGATCACTGAGCTGTACAGAAGATAACTCTCAGGCACTCAAGCCCCCTGATAGGCTGCAGAAGGCCGCATGAGCACACCGAAAAAGGAAAGCGAGCACAAAAACGCTCATATATGCACATAAAGACTGGATGAGCATCACTCAAGCAAACATAATGCAAAACAAGTCACAAACTAGAGTGCAAGAAACGTGGGCTTTACGAGTCACTAAAACAAAGTCGTCAGTCAGTAATTCAGAGAGCTGAGACATCTGATCTGCAGCTGTTGATTCTCTCTGTGGAGTCCCCACAGTGGGTGCTTCTATGCAACATCGCCCTCTGCAGACATGGAACATTATAGCACGAGGAGGGGCCGGTACAGCGATATCATTGAGTGCTGATCCCTTCTGAGAAACTTTATTTGTGCCTTATTCCAAATAAGGAGACTCCAGGCTGATCTTGTCACAATCAGTTTTATTTAATTAATTGCAAATGTGTTTTTTAATACGTACGCAGCACTACATCACAATATAAATGTCTCGTGTCTGTATGGAAAAGCTAAGATAACAAAAGCCACATAGCGGCACCTCTAAAAGCTCACCAAGTTATATTTAGTTTGTTTAAACCATACAAAAACTGATCCCTGGTCAAGAAATAGTACAGCACATAACCCCGACATACAACTGTAACATTTTAACACTTTGTTTTCTGTAGGGATTAGACAAACAAGGCACAATGTGTTTATAAGAGTTGCCGGTTGTTTGTATTTTACATTGAAATATCTGGATTAAACAGCTGTTTCCTGTCTTTGTACTAAACTAACCGCTGATGGATGTAGCTTTATGTTTACAGTACAAATGTGTATTATATCAATATTGTGCTTTCATGTTGCATTTTACGAAGTAGAAATGTGTTTAATCAAGTTAAATGAGTTACACTAAATCACTGTCTAAGTGTCCTTGAGCAAGAAACTGAACCCCTGCTCCTAAAAAGCTTAGGGTTGGTTAAATGCAGAGTAATGCCTGTTTATGTCTGTGACAATCATTTTTTTGTTTTATGTTTTTTTATAAACAATAAACAGAGTGGGAGAAAGAGGGGTTAATAGGGCCCACATCTCCGGCCCCCTAGTGGGTTAATAGGATCACAGGTCATGTTCAGATATAGAACAGGGACCCTGTCAGTGTCCTGCTCAAGAGCACTTAAACTTCTAAGACAGAGGGTCTCTAGTTGAAGGGTGTTGTGTCTCTTCATTTACCCGCCTTTACACTTCAGGTCAAATTGCACAGTGCACGGAGCTCAGTAAATGACAGACCTTCTTGTGCAGTTAAAACAGCATTAGGGACCTCCCTTTGATCCCTCTTTGTTAACATGAGCTCACTGACGACCAGCAGCACTCAGTGCAGCAAAGGCGTCTCAATGCATGAATGCAAGCAGCTCTCTGTGCAGTAACCATATCTGACCTATAGATGCCACTGTCATAAATAATCTGCTCGTGTAATACTGTACTGTCTGTGTTCGTACTGTAAGTGACAGCAATGTGATAATATTAGCTTACAAGTATCATGTATCAGCCTCATTCATATTTATGAGGGTCTCGCTGTCATTGTTCCCTTAGATATGTAAATTGTGCTATTAGTGGAAAATGTTTGAACGTCATTATTAATGGATGTCTGGTACATTTTCAGGTTTTCTACGTCACCGTATGTGTGTGTGTGTGTGTTTGTGTGTGTAGGCAGGTGTGGCTCAGAGTCTGTCTCTTGACAGGTATGCCATGGGGTGTTCATTTGTGGCAGCAACCGTGCACCGCTTAAAGCACGAGGGAATCCACCTGGGTTGTTCAATGGAAAGATCTGATAACACTGATAACTGTTTCTTTCCTCATGTTCCACTTCCAACATCACACTACTGCACTACCAACATTCCTTTAAACTCCAAAAAACAACAACATTAATTTTGTCGGTTTCTAAGTTTCTGGACACACCCAGCTCTAACTCCCCCTTTCAAAGAAGTCTGCCCCCCCCCCCCCGCCCCCCCTTTATGTTTTCCCAGCCCTCTGTTGCCATAGAAATAAGCCCAGGCAGGAAGTGACAGCCTCATGCCCATGCAAAGGAGGACATTCGTTTTGTATAGTAAACAAATCCAATGCATGAAGGTTCAGAGAGCTACAAGGACAAAAGAGGACGACTGAAGGCTCTCAGAAGAAGACATAAGGAGCAGAACTTAAGACGGACATTAAACAGAGACACACAAACACATGCTCATTCACACACACACACACTCATTCTGTCTGGGTGCAATCACACAACTTCTCTCACTTACTCATCGTTTCAGCAAACAGTCAGCACTTGTGGGTAAAGCCATCTTTTCCAACCAGAATGTCTGAAGAAAAGCACCAAACAATCTGTCATTGGACTGTTTACTGTGATATGAAGCAATGACACCAGACAGATTATTATTAACACATATCTCATCACACCCTCTGGCTCTTATTCATGAACTAACTGCGTGCTACAATCCACAACAGGTATATTAAAGGAATTAAGTTGATTAACAGTAAAATGATCGAGTAATCTCTTGAGTCATTTCCCAAGCAAAGATACCAAACATTCCCTTGTTCCAGCTAACAATTACTTACTGTATTTACTGATAATAAACTGAATATATTTAGATTTTGGAGAGATATTCAGACAAGATGAGCAATTCAATGATATAACTTGTGCTTTTAATGGGCCATTTTCACTTCACTTTTTGACAATTAATCAATAAAACAATTGGCACATTGCTAAACAGTTTATTTGCTGTTATGGGATGGAGTATGACTTCATCTGACATCTGAAGCTGCTTATTTTGCTCTTGAAACATTGTTCCTGGTAATGTACTACACATGTCATGGTCTGAGATTAAGCAGAGAAAAAGCCTTGTTTTTTAAACATAATAATACACATTTTAAATCAATCAGCATATGTTAGCTTTGACTACAAGGCAGAAGCAAACTGATGTGATTGATGTGAACATGGCTGAAACCAAATATGGGAGTTGGGGTTTCAAACAGAAACCATGACCCATTATCACACAAAGGTCAGATTAACCACGTGCGATTAACATAACTTCACCTGCAGCTATTACCTCTCACTCCATTGTCTGACACGAATCGTACACCTTTGGTTGCATTTTCCCGTCTTTCACGTTGTCTTTAGCGTCACTCCATGGCGCGTTCAAAAAAAGGTGTCCGCCCAGCCCTTGTTCCCGCCCCTCGGGGTTATCCTCCACTGTGATTGGCTCGAGCAGCGCGTCAGTCACTCCCGGGCTCACTGAGCAGACCCCGCCTCCTCCACATAGCTCCGGCGTTGTAACGAGCAGCAGGAGCCCTGAAGCCAGGTACCGAATGTCTCTACCTTCGGGATAGGATGCTGTAGCTTTCGCCACAGAACACGTAAGCATTCATCATTTATCCTCATAGCTCGTGTGATAAGTATGTCGGCGTCTCTGCTGTTATTGCCTCGCTTCCGTTTGAACTAAGCGGCGGAGTTGATCGCGCGCCCTGACGTGGCTTCAGCTGAATATCGCGTTCGATAGAATTATTAATGGGCTTCCTCGTGACATTTGGTGCTGAATTTGGTGCCTCCGCGTGCCAGTTGGATGTGGTGTTTTAAACATATTTGTATTGTTTGTATCGAGGCTGTGTGCGCGCAGGGTTTCACGAGCACATGGGGGGTATATTGGACATTTTGTCTGCGCTGACAACTTTGAATTGCTGTGTTGGCAGCAGGAACTGAGCTGTGGATTACACACGGGACACCTGTGGTTCGTCCCCGTGGAGTTTGTCCTCAATAATGGTTGCCGTGCTGACATCATCCCCCGAGCACGAGCAACACACATTATTCTTTTACATTTTATTCAACGTGTTCATTGTAGATATTGGGATCATAGATTTATTCATTGTGTGAAGTTACAGCATGGCTGTGTTTTCTATTTTAGATGGGACAGTTTGTTTCCCACGGCCTGTGTTACAGGACTGTATGCTTTTAATGGAGGCCATTAGAGCTGACATGATTAATCAATCAACAGAAATTTAATTGGCAGTAATTCTGATGATCAACTTATAGTTTAAGTAATTTCTCAAATATGCCACACAAATAAGTCTGTTTCCAGCGTCTCAAATGCTGTTTGCTAGTTTTCCTGTTTAATTCAGTTTATTTAGTATAACCCAAAATCACAAATTTACAATCTGTGCACATCCTCTGTCCTGGGACCCTCACATCGGTACAGGACCCCCCCCCCCCCCAAAAAAAGCCTCTCCTCCTTGGCTTCAATGATATCTTTGTTCGATGATCTTCATGAACTATTTGTTGAACAAGACATTATTTAAAGATGTCACTTCAGAGCTTTCCACTATCTTCAGAACGGAACAGATTTTTTTGAGTTGCATCCCTACACACCATTAAATGACCGTGAGCCATTCAGCACTTTCACATCAGGCGTTTTGCTGGAGTGACTTTGTGTTTGTAATCATACCGTTAATCAACACAGACTGGATCATTTCAGGCACGAGTGTTGATGGCATCACTGTCACTGACGCCAGCCAAGTAGCCTACCTAAGATAACTGTAGTTTATTGTTAAAATATCTAAACTGGAGCTGTTTCACAAAACTGTAAGCATGTTGTAGAATATGTGTAGATTTGTACTTAATCGAAAATAAAGGAGAAGGATACAAAATGGGTTCAGTTACAACACCTAAACCTTTATACAAACCACCGATAGCTCTTCTCTTTATAATCTGGCATCTGAAACAAAAATCAACCTGCAACTATTTTGATTATCGATTAATCATGGAAGTAATTTTTTAAGTAAGAATGCCAGAAAATCTCTCTCTCGCTCTATATAGTATTATTGCCTTTAGATTTCGGATTGTTGGCCGGTCAAAATAAAACTTAACTGCCAGATTAATTGGCAATGCAGATAATCATTAGTTGCAACCCTAGGACGAGTATAAGTAGTGAGAGGCTGCACTGCCACCCATGTGTTGGCCTGTTGAAGAGCCCTTGAGCAATCAATGCAGTCCACCAGTCAGCTGATTACAGTCCGGGGCCCCAAGTGTTTTATTCTTGCTGCAACGTTTCTGGGCGTAAACATCCAGCGTGGCCGACGTGACTCACCGAGTTCTATCTCTGTGTCACTCTCCCTCCTTTTTACACAACACCCACTTAAAAGCTGGTAAACACGGAGCTTCGCTGATGCACCGAGTGGCCGCCGTGAGAGAAGCCTGTGATCTCTGCTGGTTTCATAAGGTGATAGAATGTCGTGTCCTACTTCATCCGACGGTCACGTGAAATCATGTCTCTGCTGGTAAACGGCACGGGGGCTATAAATAGCTCCGTGTTTTATGCCCTCAGATGTCTTCTATAAAGAACAAACACACTGGATATAGTCTTTGTTTTTTGCCATAGCAACCCGTGATTGAGCAGTAACAAAGTGTCTCTTGTCTCAGCAGGAAAGAGACAGTGTGAGAGAGAGAGACAAACAGAGGCAGACACACAGAGAGAGAGACAGAGACGGAGACAGACAGACAGACGGACAGAGAGAGAGAGGCAGACACAGACAGCGAGAGAGAGACATCTTTTGTGATGCGGCTTTTCATAAAAGACGTCGGTCAATAATCTACGGGCATGCCGGCTCTCATGATTGTTCTCTTTCTGTCTCTCATGACCGCTGAATGGCATACTGAAGCTGCTTTCTTTACCTCTTTGATCTCTCGGTTTCCTCTGCACTGCATTACATTCACATTGAACAACACTGTTTAAAAAACAATCGGTCATCATGAAATAAAGAAATGAATAGCTCACACGCTGCGGCGCTCCAATGTCGACTTATTCATCACAACATGCTCTTCATCGAGACTCCGATAAACGCACTCGGTCGGACGTCGTGTCACAGGTCAGATGAGCTGAGTGCTACTGCCACGCTGCCACACATCCGTGTCCCTACTTTGGTGTAAACATTTTGGGTGTCGATGTGTGAAGTAGCCGGCTGATATCGCCAGATGCGAGTCTATTTAAAGCCGGCTTTCACTTCTTAATAATCGGCGGATCATGCACAGCTTAAACTCGGTGAACCTGTGAAGAAGCTTTATATGATGACTCTTTATCGGAGGTAGAGTCACAGATGGGCCATCTGTGAGGACCTTTTTTTTTTTTTTCGCAGTCCCAATAACTGTCGGGTTGATGGCATTCCTGCTGTTACAAGAATGTGTACGGGCAGAAAGCGGATGGATCGGCTGCTCAGTCGATTCCTCAGGATTCTCTCGAGATCCTGTCATAAAACACCCGGTGAACAACGGGCGAGGCGTTGCTTAATGAAAGCCACGTGGCTTTCTGTAAATATGCAGTATGTGTTGCCTGCAGCTATGGCGCACATAATGACTTGTTGAGGAATTGTTAGTCTGAGTTGAACAATGCCTTCTCAAAAAGCGGCATTCCTGAAGTGCGTTTCTTCCCGGTGCACAAGGTTCGCCACGAAGAAGGCTTTCAAGGAGCACCAGTTGGTCAGCATGGTGGTGACCATTTTAGGAGGCCGGGGATCGGACGAGTAGAAAGGGGAAAAAAAGGTCCGCTCTTCTATTTGAATCTCTGCTTTTGTCTCCTGGCGTTCAGCAGTGCTCACCCTTTTAGACACTAAAAGGACCACACGGCACATACAGAACGTTACCTTACGGTGTCCCGTGCAAGACCCACTGCTGAGAGAGAGAGAGAGAGAGCCTTCCATCACCTTTAAACCTTTTATTCCCTCGTTTGGGCCTTGTGACTCTGGCACTCGCCGTGAGAATGACCATCTTTTCCATCTTAACGGATCCTTTACAAGGTGTTTGTGCCATTAATGATTTACTCCCATTACGTAAGAACTCAGGCAAAAAACACCCCAGCACTTCTAGTCTTCCAGTGCAGGAGGCTCGGTGGCGTACAACACTCCAGTAATCACTCAGTGGAGGTAAGTAGGGCACTCAGAGGGATGTTCATGTCCCGGCTTCATTTACAGATTTCACAGTTCATCTGTGGCGGTTCGTATTCTCCACTAATACACAGCTTTCTGCACAAGCCTTTAAGCTTTTAAAGTGAGGAAAAGCATCTGACACTTCAGACTAAATCTGTGAACAGATGCAGTGGCACATTTTCTGTTTTTTATTTGGTGATGTTTTGCTCAAAGGAAGTGTTTTTGTTGCAAACTTTGCAGCTGAGTTGTGTGAACGTGGGGAAAAGGGATGAGGCCGAGTGTGTTATGCAAAGAGGTGCTCGATGCTGCGGCCCCTTACTCGCCACTTCTAGTGTTTACACTCGTGATTGTATTACATAATGCTTTACAGTGGTTGAACGCACCTTTTTCTTGCCGTTGAAAGTCTAGACTCCAGGTGTAGATATGCAGAAGTTGTGTGTGTGTGTGAATTGCTGAACCTCAATAAACATTCGTAAAAGCTTCAGACGCGGCCGAAAGACGCCAGACATGTCGCAGCCTGATAAGTGCGAAAACACGAAAGGACTCGATGAAAACACGAAAGGACTCGATGAAAACACGAAAGGACTTGATGAGCTAATTGGAGCTCATTTTGAAGCCGACTCAAATCCGCTGTCTGTCCTTTTTAGTCTGCGCTCCAGAAGCCGTGAAAGCAAGTGGGCCGCCCGTGTGTTTCAGGCTGCTTTTAGCCCAGTGTTGACTGTAGCTAGCTGTGTGTCGGGGGGGTATCGAAGCACTGAGCACATTCTTTCCTGTCGATGACTCACGTCCTGGGCATGGTACTGACTGTAAGAGAGGCCTCGGGGGAACTACAGCACACACACACGCACGCACGCACGCACTCTATGGTTTTTACAGAGGATGCAGCACACTTCAAATCCAAAGAGTTTTAAATTTGCATGTGAGCACATCTCACCGTGTTAATCCAGGAGACGGGGATGTGCCTTAGCTCGTATGTACACTGCACAGGTCCACGTCAACACGCCTGAGGTACAAAGGGAGTGGCGCACATGGCGGTATAGCACACACAGCCAGGTCCGGGCATGCCATTGAGGAATGAATGCGACATGTCGGTGAGAATAGCGGCGTTCCCTTACTCGCCCCCGTGCCACCACTTTGTAATAATGTAGAGAACCAACGCAAAACTCTTCAACCGAAACAAGACGGCAGAATTTTGCAAAAATGATAACTGCAAATTGTAGAACAAAGCAGAGCAGGTCTGACTTGGACCGTCTGTGACCTCACAAGCAAGCCTTCTGTCAAAAAAGCTTCAGATACACTGCATTAGATCAACGCGTGAAGGAAGCGTTCACGTTCGTATTTAACATGGAGGATGAGGAGGAGACGAAACCAGCCCGTGGTGAAGCAGCAACGGCTCAGTTTTGCAGCATGCAGATGGAGCGAGCTCTGGGTGTGGTTTCACATTAACATGGTAACAGAAGTTAGTCTCTGGAGTCATAACTTTTTAATTTATTCTCTTTTTAATGATGGTCTTTGTGTGTACGATGCTCTGCACACTCCATCGGGATTCCTTTTGTTGTTTTCCTGTCTTCCTCAAATGCTTGTTTACAAGTGGACCCTTTATAAATCTTCATAAAACTTGGGTGGTACCACAGATACTGACTTTTAACATTGGTTTTGTGTACTTGGCTGTAAAAGTATCAAAGTCCACACAAAGCCAGACTTGCATCTGAAAACACAAGTTGAACCCTGAACTGTGAGAGCTCACGATAAAGACTTATTCGCCTCTCGTGTGTTGTTTTTCCTGGATATCCGTGTCCAGCTTCCTTAATAAAACAAAGACACTTTGGACTTTTTCATTGACAGTTAGTCAGACCCAGAGTGACTCAGTGATTCCTCTCTGTTTTTATCCGTCTGGTCCCACAAAAATAACCTTTTGTGCTGCTCTGACATCAGCTCGTTGTTTGAACCTTTTCTCCACAGCTCTGACTGTTGTGCCGTGGCCTTCAAAGGTCAGAGCGATGCTCCTGGCGGCTCCGCTGTGATCTCTGTTGGTTTCCACACAAACGAGACGACGGTTGGGCAGAAAGCGCTCGAGTCGCAGAACGATGACGACGACGTCGCCCACTCACAGCGACAGCAGCGGCTCCTCTAAGCACGACAGTAACCAGGTGTGTGTGTGTGTGTGTGTGTGTGTGTGTGCTGCTTTAATGTACAGCGTGAGACAAAAAGAGATCATAGCCACTGTTCGCATTCAGCATTATGCTTCTTTTCCTATCGAAGTAGCATCATATCAAACTGTTGAAACTCAATTATGAAGCGTCGCTCTCTCTGACTGAACATTAAAGTGTTCCTAGAAATGCATGAAGCACAACCGCGCTGTTTTTACAACAAGCGCTGTTGCTGTCACAACAGTGTTGAACTTAAATGGTGTGTGCGATGAGTCTATGTTTACTGTTAACATGTTTGAGATCGTGCTATTTCAAGTCACATGTCTGTCTAAACTCGTATGTGGTTGTCGCGCCCGTGTGTCCCTCTCCAGGACAGCTGGGAGATCGTGGAGGGGCTCAGGGGGGCTCCTGCCAGCATGCAGGAGCCTGACAGACAGGAGGGCTTCCTGCTCAAGAGGAGGAAGTGGCCCATGAAGGGCTGGCATAAGGTGAGCGCCTCACAAAGCCACCCTCTTTCTAAAGCCCCAAAAACAGCAACAGCATCGCAGCACTTCTTAATTATAGAACACCGCTGCTGCCTTTTGTTCAACCAAAGAGCTATTTTCACCCTGAACTTGAGGGTGTCGGATAGTGAGCCATAATGGTTTTGCTTTTTAAACATTCTGCACTGTATTCATCACATGTAGTTCTTTTAAAAGCACAGATGGTGTTGTCAATCAAGGCCCCATATCCATTTTGGTGAAGAAATAAAGCAATAATGCATTCTAAGTGCATACTGTACATGGGTGTAGGTGTGATTTCTCTCCTGATGATGCCATGTTTGAACCAGCAGTCCTCCCTAAATGTCCAACTAAAAGCTCTGACCTGGTGTCTTTTAATACCTCGGAGCTATTTCCACGTTTCCTCCTCTTCACCATTATAGTCCTCCTGTATTTCCTTCTTTCCATTGTTTTTATTCCCAGCCGATTGCACTGTAACCCTGACTCATCTTCCTCCCCCTCTTCTGTGTGCTCATGCATACCTGGAAAGTTCTGCCTTGCAACGTGATTTGAATAGCCACTTAAATCGACAATATTTAGAGCAAAGTATGCTTGTAAGCTGTTGCTATGTCGATACATGGTCACTTATTTCACTGCTGCCGTTGTGAAACTTGAAATGCAGGGTCATGGGAATGAGGTGTTATTGGTTCATAACGGTACAATGTCTGCCCACCTTTTTGTTTATTGGTGTTTTTACTATTGTGTGAACTAAGAGTGCAAAACTAAACGTAAAAAACGGACTAATGTTGTGAATAAATATTGATTTGAGTTTGATTTCGTCCCACTTAGAGGTTCTTTGTGTTGGAGAAAGGCATCCTGAAGTATGCAAAGCGTGGATCTGATGTAGGTATTACCCCGAGCGTCATTCTTGCACTTCAACACATCCGAAACGCACGCTGACAAAGTGTTACGTTCACAGCTGCAGAAGGGAAAGCTTCACGGCTGCATTGATGTCGGCCTCTCCGTCATGTCGATCAAGAAGAAAGCCATGTGCGTCGACCTGGACACGGAGGATAACATCTATCACTTGAAGGTAACCCCTGAATATGAATGTTTTGCATTACGGGTTTGTGTGCAAATGCATCAACGCCTCTATGCTGCGTCTCTCATTTACTTCTTTCTGTTTCATACAAAGACGCTCCCAGCGGGCGTGTCCCAGTTACTGCTCCTAATTTGACTTTATGGCACCCAGGTTAAGTCTCCGGAGCTGTTTGACGAGTGGGTGTCAAAGCTGCGGCATCACCGCGTGTTTCGGCAGAACGAGATTGCCATGTATCCCCACGAGAGGCACCTCTTCAACCCCCACGCCTCGCCCGCCCTCAACGACTCCCTGAGAAAAGTGAGTTGTTTCCTTTCAGGTGTGACACAGTAGGGATGTAGTTATGTGAGGTTGCACATATGCCTGACGCTCCCTCTTTCTCTTAAAACAGAGGGCGACTCTTACTAAGCAGGCGTCGGTCCACAAAGCAAAGGTCAGCTCTTGGCTCCATTCTTCAGAGGACATGGACAAGTGCTGCAAAGGTTGGTTGTCGTTTTGTCTTATTTCTCTTTTGGGTACTTGCCTCACTAATTGTCTCTCCTGGCTTGCTCGTCTCCCTTGTCCTCGTTAACGGTTACCTTTCAAACGTGTCTCACTGCAGTTCATTCCATCACTGCGTGCACCCAAACTTCCATCTCATAATAAATGTCTTTCTCTCAGACTTGGAGGAATGTGAATCGTACCTGCTGGAACTCAACCTGCTGCTGAAGAGCATGGAGGTCCTCCACCGCACGTACTCGGCCCCGGCCATTAGTGCACTACAAGTAAGCACAGGACCACGGATTAAGTTAGCCATGATGATTCTTTGTCTTCATTTAAGCAATGTGCAATATATCTAATACAAATGCATTAGTTAGCTCTGTGGGTCTAACAGAGAAGTTCTCAAGGAGTAATGGCCGATCCCCACTGGCAGCATTTTAGAAGTGTTTTTGACGCCCGACACTCGTAACAGACGCTCTTCCATTTTATTCCATCAACACTGACTCTGTGAGATGCGCGTCTGACAGAGACCCCTGCCTTTTTTTTTTTTACACTTCAAGTCTATTTTTGTTGCGTTCTGTGAAGCTACATAAGCAGCCGACACAAGTATCTCACTGTGTATGTGTTTTGATCTTATTAACCGTATCTACATGGATCGATCAAGGCTCCCAGTCTGTCTGTTGGTTAGCTGGTCTGTTTCACTAGAGGCAGATTCCCCTCACTGGTTACGCTGGGCGGGGAAATGCATTCAATGAATCAATACAAACATTGATTTCTTCCTATTAAGCCGACGGGAAAACTATTTTGGTTCAGTGAAAACGGGGAAGTATTTTTGTTTGCTACTCCTTTTAAAGTCTTCTTGTGGCACCACAGGCGTCTAATTATGACATGCCCAAAAAAGAGAAGAGGCCGAGGAGATGGCGATCCAAAAACAATGGCAAAGAAACCAAAGCCACACTACAGGTACATGCGCAGCTTTTCTTTTGATAATCATTTAGAAACGCACTTCATTCAGCGGTGTGAATGACGGGGAAATAATGGCTTATCCTTTCTCTGTTTTTTGTTTTTTTTTGTCCACCAGGTCCCAAGCTGCCTCTCCTCTCAATCCCCTCGTCTCCACGCCTCCAACCCCAACCTCTCCACCACGGACTCAAACGCCCAGGAGGTCTGTCCCGAATCCCCAGACTCGCCTACAGACGGGTCCCGTCTGCAGGAGGACTTCTGCACGCTGGCCAACAACAGTGAGTCCTTGCTGGTGGGGGGGCGTCTGCTGGTTAGCTCGGGAGACGCATTCACTTTAGATTGAAAAAGAAAATATGCTCGTTTATATGGTAAGATAGTTTCCATGACAACTCTCTTGTCTTGCATTTGCTTCTCTCCAGTCCACACCACGCTGAAATCGGCCTTTAGTTCCCTCGTAGCGGAGAGAGACCGACTGAGGCACACCATCGACAGGCAGGCCCCGCAGCCAGCGCAGGTCATTGGCTTGAAGACCGCCTATGCCTCAGTGAGTGGGACTCAAAAGATCACAATATGTCCACCGACTGTCGCCTCAGGTCCAGTTTCCCTCAACCTGACTTCTTCTTATCATCAGGAATGTACCAGAGGGTCTCACTCCTTGGTCCACCAGGTGTCCAATGAGAGCAAAGCATCAATCCCAGAGTCCATATCGGAGTTCTTTGATGCTCAGGAGTACCTCCTCTCCTCTTCCTCTTCTGAGAATGAGGTGAGACACAGTGGTCAAACAAATCAAGTTCAAGTCTTATAAAGGGTTAGTTGTGCAGTAAAAGTAGTGAGTCTTGTTACTCCTACTGTCCCAACACGGCCATGTTTAAGTTTAACACAACTAATACTTCACAACAACCTCTCTGTACACTGGGTTTCTGTTCTGATGATGGAAGACTTTTGGTTTGTTTGTTATTGTCCTTTTGATTATGTGTTCTGACCTTTCAGCATTGACTTTCTGTCTCCAGGTCTCTGACGATGACTCGTACATCAGTGATGTCAGTGACAGCATCTCCGTGGACACCTACAGCAACGAGGGAGGCAGTGAGAGACACAACTCTGGTACATGATACAGTAACACGTCGTGCGTGTGTGTGTGTGTGTGTGTGTGAAAGACTGAGCAACCGGATCTTATTCTGTCAAATGGAGGCGGAGCTTGTCTGTCCTAGTGCACTTGAGTGACTGACTAAGCCTCTGTGTGAGAGAGAAAATGTGTTGAATATGACAACTGCCAACTTCCAGAAGTGTTTACAAACTCCGTACGATGTTTCCTCACACAGTATGCGAACAAGCGTTCAACAGGTCTGCTGCAGCTTGTTCACATTTGGCTAAAACAAGTTTTGATGCTGGCTGAGCCACCTCTGAAACTACAACATATCCTCGTCACACACTGCGCACATTCAATGTGCACCGCCTCTTGTCACCATACTAGTCTTATTCAAATCTCCCACTATTCCCCTCTAGTTAGCAGCGTGGTGACCCGGGCCCGTCGGCGCGCCGCGCTCCCCTCTCCCAGCCCCACCAGCACCGTGAGCCTGTGGAACATCCTGAAGAACAACATCGGTAAGGACCTGTCCAAGGTGGCCATGCCGGTACAGCTCAACGAGCCGCTCAACACCCTGCAGAGGCTGTGTGAGGAGCTGGAGTACAGCGAGCTGCTGGACACCGCCAACCGCACCCAAGACCCTTACCAGCGCATGGTGAGAGGAAGGAAAACACACATGTTAGCATGCACAACTTCTAATGTAACAGTTGAGAGAGGATCTTATGTCTACACAGTTAATCAAAGACATGCACAACTAAAGCACATGAACAGATGGAAACACGATCATCAAAGTAGGCGTCGCAAAATGTTGACAGGGAATGTGTATCGAGCTCAGTGCTCTTCCTCAGGACGATTTTTTTAAAGCTACACTGATGTTCGTCTTTTGCTCTGTGTACAATTTTTACAAGCAAGAAGCTTTCAATTGTCTTTTTCTTCCTGGGTCTGTTTGGAAGACTTTTTATCTGAGTTTTATGCACATTTTTAGTCAAATAAACACAGAGTAGTTACAAAGTGCCATGTGGTAAGTCTCACACCTATGCATACTGTAGAACATGCATCATACAGTATTAACATGTAGTTATAAATAATACATGCTTTACCTCTACCTAATGTGATGTTCCAATACCACTACTACCATAGGCCATCAAAATGTCCCAATTGAAAGCATATCAAATGCAGCTACGTCCGTGCAATAGTCTCATGTAAACAAAGTTGGTGGTGTCCCACACGTACACACAGTCATGTTCACAACATCATGTAGAATACACGCATGTAACACATGTCATTCACCCCCGTCTGATTTTCTGTGCAGGTGTATGTTGCTACATTTGCAATATCTGCATACGCATCCACCTACCATCGAGCAGGAAGTAAACCCTTCAACCCGGTCCTTGGAGAGACGTACGAGTGTGACAGACCCGATAAAAGCTTCAGGTTTATAGCTGAACAGGTAGAGGTCACACTGATTACAACACACACACACACGCGCATGATTCACTACATGGGATATACACTCGTAGGATAGGCTACTTTTCAGTTTACTTCACAACTTGAAACACAAAAAATACACAACATTTTGAATCTAATATGTAAAGGGACTGAAATTAAATGTGATGCAAAGTTTATATCTCTGTAATTACAACACAAAATGACCATTTGTGTAATAATTACTCACTGGGTGTTGCCTTAAATTCTAGAAGAAAACTGTTTTTCTCGCATGACTCCACAGTGAACAAAGAATCCAAAGACTAAATGGGGACCACGTTTAACAACAGCAAAACTATATCAAAACATCTGTTAAAAAAACTCTCGCACAACTCGTGCCTCACTTATCCAGTCGTATGCTGACTACTACAGCGTACCAAGCTTGAGGCTGATTATGCGGATGTGTTTTGCACCGTACGGTTTTAGTGTAGATGCATGTATTTAGGAAGTGGTGAGCATACGACAGGACAAGCGAGACTTGGAATGAACTGCACAAGTTGTGTGAGAGTTTGGGAAAGGATTTTTGATGAGGTTTTGCCATTGTTAAATGCGGCCCCCGTTCACTTCAATTCATCAAATTGTTTCGTGATTCTTCGTTCATCGTGGAGGCACGCGAGGAAAACCCCGTTGTCCTCAAGAGTCATGTGACTCATGATGTGAGTCATCGATATGCAAATTGTCATTTTGTGGGTGAAGTCTGCCTTTTAAGGTAAATGTCCTTCACTTTGTGTTTTATGTATCGATATGTAATTGTCAAATGAATTGTCGCCGTGGTCAGGTTGTCTCATGTCAGAGGTATCGGTGAAGGTAGAACAGCACCCACTTCCTGTTTCACTCTGTAAAGCAAATTACAATCTAATCTAATCTAGTAGCAAACGATGTAAAGCAGAGAAGTCGTGCACTGACCTGCCGTTGATGTCTGTGACGGTCTAGTTTGTTTAAAGCAATTATACTAATCTCTAAAAATAAATGTAGTCATGGTTTAAAGCGGGCATAAAATGCTCTAGGTCCTTTTTGTTTTCACTGATTCATTGCAGAGCGACAGCGTCCACTGTGTAAAGCTCTTGATAGTTTCTTTTATTTCATCGTGTATCTCTTCTCTCCGGTTTTCCCAGGTGAGTCATCACCCACCTGTGTCTGCATGTCACTCTGATTCAAGGAACTTCGCCTTTTGGCAAGGTGAGCAGGAGAGGACATGTTTGTAGTAGTTGAGTGTTTCACATACAGGCTGTAGGTTTATATTTAAGGTGGAAATTGGTGTAATGGAAGATTAAGTGACCTCATTTTCACCCTGTACCTTTCCATTGAATGAGTGTTTGATACTTTATGTACATACTCTAACAGATTAATGTGCAGATTATACTAACGTGACATCATTTTGGAATGATGTTCCAAAATGTTCTGGTATGTTGTTCAAGAGCAAAGACGCTGCTGCCTCTGTTTGCATTTCCCTCTGTGCATAAGAATAGAGAATTTGATTTATGAAGAGACGCTGCTGTTTTCTGAAGAGACCAGATGAAGCCTTGAAGATTTAAATTAAGAACAAGCACTCACCTGTTATTTTGCAATCTCTTTCTTTTAGATGTTCGATGGAAAAATAAATTCTGGGGCAAATCCATGGAAATTGTTCCTATGGGAACCACACATGTCACACTACCTGCGTAAGCCCTCGACTCCTTAACTCATTGTGTGTGTGTGTGTGTGTGTGTGTGTGTGTGTGTGTGTGTGTGTGTGGGTGCGCGCATTAGTGTTCGCACTCTTGCATGTTTGATGCGAGTGTCCACGTCTTCGTGAACATGATGGGCTGTAAATGTGAGTGCTGGGAATGAAACAACATGCATATTGAGGACAGTACGTGTGTGTTTCTCTCCAGGTTCGGGGACCACTACGAATGGAACAAAGTGACGTCGTGCATCCACAACATCCTGAGCGGTCAGCGCTGGATCGAGCACTACGGAGAGATGTCCATCAAAAATATAAACAGTGACGCCTGCCAGTGTAAAGTCACATTTGTCAAGGTTGGTCAACACTGATATTTAATTACCCGGTTTGTTGTGAATGACAGAAACTGATCTTTATTCTACAGTTGATTTTTAGGGGAAAGACGTTTGGTAAAACATGTTTTTCATGGCTCCACAAAGCCGAAAGAATTATACACTCCCTGTGTGAAGTCGCTTGCTCCTCCAGCGCATATCAAGGCAAACGGCACCATCTTCTGGACAGAGATAGGAACTGAATATTCAACCCATGAGCATGGAAAATTGAATTAAATGTGATACTTGGGATGTCTGCTCTCAGTTTGTGTAAGATATATTTCTTCCATCTCACACATACAAACTATTCCCTCTTTTATTTATTTTTTTGCAGGCGAGATCATGGAGCTCCACAGTGAACGAGATAGAGGGCGTGGTGACCGATTCAAATGGAAAAGTTGTCCACTCCATCTTTGGAAAATGGCAGGAGTCAGTTTTTCAAGGAGACCCGCCTTCTGCCACGTGTATCTGGAGAGCAAGTGAGTGATCGGTCCCTGGGAATGTTAGTTATAACGTTTTTACAACCGGCCACACAACTTAATTTGTTAATTTTTGTGTGTGTGTGTGTGTCTGTGTGTAGACCCCATGCCGGTGGACCAAGACCAGTTCTACGGCTTCACCCAGTTTGCGGTGGAGTTAAATGAGCTGGACTCCGCCCTGAGACCTCTTCTTCCCCCCACAGATACGCGCTTCAGGCCGGACCAGAGGTTGTCACTCTTGTCTTGTCTGTGATGTTGTGGTAGCCCGCGTACACCGACATCACCCGACCCGTTTTACAAACGTTATTCCTTATTACTGCCGTTACTGCTCAACCTTATATTCTGGTCTAATGGGTTGTACAGTCTTAATGGACTGTAGTCTTAATGGACGTAAAGCTGCCTAATAATTTACCCAATAACATTTTATGCAAACATGATTTTGTTGCCCACGTGAAAAAGTAACCATGGCAACAGACTATGAGAGGGAATAAAATTACAAGAATAATTGTCCACTCATGTAGAGATTTTATTTTGTACAATTCTGAACCCCAACATTGTTGTATGTATGAGGGTGGATTAATAACGGCAGTATAAAAGGTAATTAAATATCAACAAGTTAGTTAGACCAGAAAAAGGGGAAAAACAAACATTATTCTTGTTGTCGTGCCAATAGAAAATGTTTTTACGATGTAAAAACCACAGGTGTAACTAAGACTTGGCTTCATGCTCCTGGTGTAGTGCATGCCGGCTCACTGTCATAGATCACTGAGGCACTCGAGTAGAACGAAGCCATTTAAGGAGTTCTCACTGCAGGGACTTTCCCATGAGACCAAACACCTGATTGAGGAACGAAGGGATTAAACCTGAATCTAAATCCAGTTCCTGTAGGATTCATTGCATCCAACTCAAAGATCAAAGTCAAGCTACAGTAAATACAAATGACAACAGGATGTGGCTCGGTGTTGTTGCTTTTCAAACACATTTTTCCAATCGGTGACGGGTGTATTTGCCTAATCTTTATGGTTCTTCAGATAAGAAATGCAATCAGGGAATCCTCAAAAGCCACTTTCTTTTCCTGAGATGAGTTGCTGGAACCTTTGGCTAGTGTTGTCGGTATACCTGAGTGTTTCCCACAGTGATAAGTCCAAATATCTGAGAAAATATGGGATGAATGGCGCTGGCGCTTGAGTTGGGTCATAATTTCCACCGTTTTCCGTCCTGACTCACTCTCCCTTGTGTTCTTTGTCCAGGCTGTTGGAGGAGGGGAACACAGAAGGAGCCGAGGAGCAGAAACAGAGGATTGAGCAGCTCCAGAGGGAGAGGAGGAAAGTGCTGCAGGACAACACCATGACGCACCAGCCACGCTTTTTCAGGTATGCCGCTGATTTCACGTCTGTGTACCTCTATATGTGCGTCTTTGTGTGCGATCAGACACGGTGTGTCAGGCATGTGTTGTTCCACAAAACTGGCTTGTCGCATATGAACGCAGATCGACTCCGTGGCAGCCACAGTGTCATTGATATATATCTATCTATCTCTATCTCTATCTCTCGCTCTCGCTCTCGCTCTATCTATCTATCTATCTATCTATCCTGAGCCACGGAATACATTAAATATATGTCAGTCTGCAGACTTTTGATAAACGAACTGGGTTGTTAGGATATACTGTTGGGCTCAATCATGACAAAAAATGGAATTCTTTCTTATGTCAGTGTGCATTACATCAGAGGTAACATTATGTGACTCATCACTCCTCATATCCTCTATTTTATCAACCCAGAACATTCTGAATACAATCCTCCCTTACACTCCTAGACATTTTAGCTTATTGAACACATAGTTCACTAAGCTAAAATAAGTTGCATAGTAACACATATTGAATACACATAGTTAACAAAGTTTTCTGACACAAACCAACAGAATATTATATTATAAAGACCCAAAAACTTAGTTTCATGATGCAATTTTTGGAGGATTCAAGTTAAAGTCTTGTCGTCGTATGTTATTCTGGAAACTGATGAGGTAATTTCACAGTCTGTACGTTTGACAGGTATCACGTATTTTAAATATGATAATCATTCAAGATGCATCCATCATTAAGTGATTTGTGCTGTGTTGACAGGAAGTCAAACAACGACACATGGGTGAGCAACAACTCTTACTGGGAGCAGCGCAGAGACCCTGGCTACAGTAAAATGGACTTTCCTGTGTTGTGGTGACGTCTGGATTTCACCAAACCGCTTCATGACAACTTATAAAGAGGGAAGTATAAAACTGAACTGAGACCAGCCTCAAAGTGTCCTGACCTGCTTAGAATGAATTGCCCCGTGTCGCGGTAACCCAAACCTATATGGACTTCCTCTTTCAGGACTGAGCAGAGTCAGCAGGACAAAAGCAACAGAAGTTCTGTAGAACTTCTGTTGCTTTTGTTTCTCCTTATGGATACATTCTCTCCTCTTATTGTCATAACTGTAATTGACTGATGTGTCAGTGTAAAGATTCATATCCTGTTCTGTTGCATCTCAGCATTTACCAAAGTGCCTTTTTTACTGCAGTGCCTCACTCAGTCGACTGCTGTAGCAGTTATGCAAAAACACTTTTATTCTTGAGATGTGTTGACTTCACTGGAGAGAAAATGATCTGTGTTGGAATTTAATTTGTTGTAAAGGTCAAAACATGCTCACGTTTTCCTCCATCCAGTCAGCATCGTGACCCGAGGGTTTTGATCAGATCTTCTGATTATAGAAGAGGGACTTTTGCCTTTTTCAGTATGATGCCTTGTTATGAGTCATGATGTCATAGTCATAGGGCAGTGGATAATGTTTATCAATGAGGAAAACGACAATAATACTCAATGTTCAACGAAGATAATAAACTGTATAATGAATGGAGAAGTTATGGTGTGTTACACTTTGTTTTTAGTAAAAAGGGATTAGCCACAGTTTAGTTTGCCACAAACAGTCTCTCCCAAAGTAACGATCGTCAAGAAGTGTCCCTCTTTTAAGACGATTCTAAGTGAAAGATACCGTAACATTAGTGGCATAAGGAATTTAGTTTAAGCAACACAGAATACCAGCAAAGCAAACCATCCCAAAACTGTTTGCTGTTGAAATACAGTTTTTGATGTATAATATGTTGGACACCAATCAAGACAATTAAAAGCACATGTGACATTCATTATTATTTATTCTTATTTGTAATGTTATTTTATTTCCCTATTATTATAATTATTGTTGTCGTTTCACGACTGGCGACTTGTCCAGGCTGCAACTGGTGGACGCTAGTCTATTACAGACTGAAAGCGACTCACAATATGGGCAATTTAGGGTCTATTAGCCTGTATGTGTGTATGTCTTTGGGACTGTGGGAGGAAACTCTGTGAATAAACCGGCATGGGGAGAAAATACCCAAGTCACCAAGGTGTTCCCCAAAAGCTGCTTTCTGTGAGGCGACGGAGCTAATCCCTTCACTACTGTAGTGAACGTCAACGGAAAGATGATTAAAAACTAAGATGTGACGATAACGATGACAAAATCTCAACTCATAAACTGCTGTCAGGGCCTCGAGGTCACCGAGTGGTTGGACTCTAAATTTTACAGAATTAAATTGACTCGGTTAACAAGTATTACTTTTGTAAAAGGAAGTTAAACTAAAAAAACCTGCAGCACCTTTCTCAAGAAGATGAAAGCCAGTGGTGAAGGAGAGGTAGTCAGGCTGCACAACCAGCTGTGCTGCCACTAGACCACACAACACGAAACATCTGCGCTATATACATACACCGTGCAATAAAAAACAATTCTGTCTGTAATATATTTAGTTATATTTAAGTTATTGTGGATTTTTATTGTGGTTTATTACTTATTTATAATACTTGTTTTGATCTTGTTTGCACTATCCACTATGCTGCTGTAATCCTGTAAATTTCCCAGGTGCGGGACTAATAAAGGATTATCTTATCTTAAGAAGACAAGTTTTGTCCGTCTGCATGCTTGAAGGCCCACCGTGAGCCGAGACATCTTCACTGGCTGAGAGGACATCCAGCTGACATGAGAAGCAAGAACTTGAAGGAGCCTCTTCTTTTTTCGGGTTCTATTGTACCACAAATATCATTTAGATCTTTGAGTCTTTCCCACCAGATTGCTCCCTTGTAACTGTGCCGGTTCTGCCGCTTGCTCTGGCCTGGTGTTCCCGACTCGTCCTGTAGCCCCAACTTACGACGCACCAACGTGCTGAAGACTTGTTCCAGCAACTATTTATAGAAAGCGTCTTAAAGAAATACAAGAATGATATGAAAGACATTTTGAAACTGGCAAAACATGCCGTAATGATCCCTGCAACTACAAAGGGGGTGGTGACCAGATGATTCAGCACCCACGCTGAGAGAGAAAGATGGAGACGAAGAAAAATGGTTCAAGCCGAACCTCCACGAAGAAAATGATTCATAACTGAGTGATTAATATTCATTACATATTTTGGCATTAATTATTAATTACAACTGCCACAAGCTATAACACCATGCCAGCCTAAAGTTGATGTTATGTCCTGTTATTGCCTCTGCGTCTACTGCCTCGCCTTCTGAAAGATCTTCTGCACAGGATGCAGGTATTTCTCTGGGATGAGCTTCCTCTGCTGGTCAATTCCCTGGATCATCATCTGTCCATGGCGCCTGTGCAGAAAACATTTCCCATTTAGCAATTTAGTGTACAATGCCAAGAAGGTTAGACAATTATGTCTGAGATTGAACAAACAAATATTAACAGGAGCTACATACTCTAAGACTATGCAAGATTTGGTAACCCACCTGACTTCCGGTGCAGCATCCACTGCCATCTTACTGACGGCAGTAAGGAAACGCTCTGTGAAGATCTTTCCGGATGTTAATATCTGATCCTCTCCAACTACGTCCACCAGCTGTTGGAGGTGCTGTGCTGTGCTCTCCCTCACTGCAATGCAAGTGTGACTGAAGAAAGACAAACACGAGAGAATGTAAGACAAATCCTGTGACGTTCACTTCATTTATTTGTAATGCTGCTGCTACCACATCCTGCTGAATTCTGATCAAATCCTCTCGTCTCACCTTAGCCCTGTGTTGAATAGGACGCTCATGACTCTTCCAGGGCAGCAGCCCTTCACCAGCGCATCCAGGGCAAGGTTAGCCCGCTGGCGAACAAAGACATTTGTTGTCTTAGACAACTTCAGCAGGAGAGCACGGCCAGTCCACTCTGCCTCGGCGTCCATGGCTCTCCCCAAGTGAACATGGAGATCTCCCACTGTGTCCAATGCAAAACTGGCTACAGAAGAGCGCAGGTTATTCACCTAGATGGAAAATAAGAACATCAGTCAATACGTCAGTACATGGAACATGCACAAGTAGGCAAATGAGAACGTCATGCAACGCAGAAACAAAGAGGAAAAGGTTTACAATACCACTTTAATTAGGATCAGGCAGACTTCATGAAGCTTGCTCTGCAGTAGTGCTGGATGGTGTCGTGCCAGAGCTCGAACAGATTTCAATCCATCAAGGTTTTTCTCCCTGTTTAGATGACAGAATGATTGAACTCTGTTGGTCACTACTTTAGGAAAAACAGACTGTTGTGTCCCTGTGTGTTGATGTCTTACCAGTCATCTGAGGTCAGCTGCTTGAAGCAGAGGGACAGACTCTTTGTAGGGTTGACCAAAGGCTGGAGGTCTTCCTGACCTGTGTCAGCTTTTTCAGAGCAGGATTGTGGCCCACGGTGAGGTCCTATTTTGTTGGGTGGGACAGGAGGTGCTGGAACCGTGGGATTGACCGCACAGTGAGGTTGACTTCTGTTGGGCGGGGCGGGAGGTAATCGAACCTTGGCTGTCACCGCCTTGGTCCTTCTTGGGGCTGCTGGTGGTTGAGGTGAAGGATGGTGGAGCAGCTGGAACTTATCCAGTCTTTCCATCAATTTCTCCACCTTACTTTGAGCTGTCTGGAGCTTGCATCCATCAGCTACATCCTTTTCTGTTCAGATTAACAGCAAAATAGCCATGCTTACACAAAACCTCTTAACTGTATTCCCATGTCCACCAATAACCATTCAAGTTCCCACAGAGAAAATCATTATCATTCAACGGTACATACCTGCTTGTCCAGGTTTTACAATCATCACAGGGAGACGAGTCGGTCTTCTGGTTGCTGCTGTTGGAGGAGGAGTCGGGGTGAGTTGGCTGATGGCCCTCAGCTCAGTTTGCATGTCCACTGAGCTGAAATCTGGGCTTGGGCTCCTGTCTTCTTCTGTAATCTTAACCAATTTACAGGATGGTATTTCCATCTGACTGCCCAGACACAGCTTCTTCTTTAAGAAGGGGTTCTCTTCTTGCAAAGTCCGGTTGGTCCTGGACTTCCGGCCCCTTTTGTCGTCCTCTGAAATGGGCTTAATCCTCCTTCCTCGCAGAGAGGATTCAGGGCTCCTTCTGGAAGCTTGGGGCTGAGTTGAAGGTAGAGTGTCTTGTGGGACGGAGAATCCCAGTCTCTTCAGAACAGCGTCGGTTTGGGCTTGCTGGGTAGCACAGAGCCTCTCTGTGTGTTGGATCTGTGCAGCCCTTTTAGCACTTTCAGCTCTCTTGATGTCCCGGATCCTGGACTGACTCCTGGAGCCACTGTGGCTCTCTGTTGGCTGTAACAAAGAAATATTTTTTAGTTCTTAGTTGTTATTTGTATTTATATTTTTGGACTTCATGTAGTATGATGGCTGGGGCTGGACGATATTGTGAAAATCAAATATCACGAAATGTTTGACCAAATCCCTCGATTTCGTTGTTGCAACAATATTGTAGGTTTGACCATTGGTGGCTTCACAAAATATTTACAAAATGAGATTATCGATAAAAAATAATAATCATTGATGTGGATTTAATGACCGGGTGCATGCAAATAATACAACAGCTTGAACAGTCTGGTAAGTTCAGAAAATGATAACTTGTAATGCAACCTTTAAATCAAAGAAAAGTCAACACTCTCGCCATATTACGATTTGAAGACGACATATTCTAACATCAAAAATTCAATATATTATCTATTTATAGCCCAGCCCTACTTTGGAAATGTTTTTGCTTATATCCAACAGTAGTAGCTAGGTTGATAGAGTTAGTTACTTACATCACTTTCTTTGTTGAAGTTCGTCTTTTGCCGTTTCAGGAAGTTTTTTAATACCTCGCAAATAGACATGACTAACAGAAATATTCAACTAAATCATCAAAAAATTGCTGAGCCAAAACTGAGTAGCTTCTCTCAACAGGATCAATATTAGTCTGACTGGATCTGAACTCTCCACTGCATAGAACATGAGCATGTTCTAAGGGATGCCATGGAACATTCTTATGGAATCCAATATGCAAATGAGATGTTCTGTGAAATCTATTCTTTGTCTTCTCATTGTTGATGATACAGAAATACCTCAACTTGAAAATCATGACACCTTTTAGGGTTTGGACTTTATTTCCCTCACATTTCCAATTTTCCTCATGCAATTAAGTATCAGTGTCCTTTTTAGGCGTAGGTGAGCCAGGCTGTTGACCTTACAGTTCAGCTATTCACCATCATCCTACAGATGAATCATGAATGAATGACTGTAGGCTACTTCAATTCCATACAAACGTCATCATAATATCATCCTAAATGGGTGGATGGAAAGCCGGGGTATAGATATACTGTTGGGTAGATGAGTCGATGTAAGGCAGCTGCAGGTAGAGTGGACAGGAGAGGTGAAAGAGTAGTAATCAGGAGGGAGTAGGGAGGAGACCAGGTAGGAGCCACGCCCACAACACACACTCACACACACACACACACACACACACACACACACACACACACACACAGGGGGCATGACCTGGCCGTGACAATAGGACTCTTGACTGGGAAACTAGTGTGCAGGTTCAATGTGTTGTTGTATACATTTGGAAAAGAATAACTCACAGCATTAAAGTAAATATTGTGCTGAGACCCCTTCGGGGTGAAAAAATTATAATTTGATACAATACAATGCATTGTTATAGATGTAACAATCCCACCTTACATTAAGTAGTTAGGCATTCATTCCACTTAACCAGCTACAACATTAAATAATTGAATAATAATTCAGTAATGGTATCTCTTTGATAGGGCTCATAGACTAATGAGTATTTAATACGCATTTAATATGATAATTTCATTATATAGTTTAACCATTACATTGGTAAAAGATCTGATTAGTTTTTCCTGCTGGTGGCGGCCATGTACATACCTAAAGCAGCCTGTTACATGCCGTTAGTGCACGTGTGCTCCACACTTCAGAGTAACACATGACCATTTTATCTACATCTGAGAGACAACTCCCCGTCAGCAAGTTACTACTTACTGGGCACAAACCTAAATACACCCACTCCACTCACACCTACACACATTATTCTAAACCCAGCACTTACATCATTTTACTTTAAATCTGAACCGCCACATGTTTTTTTCTGGGCACCGACAACAACTACGCAAAATATGGTTTAATTTACTGTAAAGGGGATTACCATCCATTTGACTCATGTTTTTGACAGAAAGGTCAACACCTGCCACTCGTTCAGCATGATCTTAACATCTGACACTGCTCCAGGGACTATGGGTAAAGGGATTTAGATGCCTTGAGAGCTAAATGTGTGATTGAAATTTAAATGATTTTTATTTTCCCCATGTCGAAGTTACAAATGCAGGAGTTTTCTTATTAGTAACCATACAAGAACATTTACATATTTCACTTACCTGCACAGGAGGTGTTTGTCATTACAGGATGTGGTCTAACTGGTGGCAATGGGGCATACTTACGATTTACAATCAGAATGGCAGTGAAATGCAAAATGACATGAATGAATAATAAAAAGACTTGCAGGTATTTTCCCTCTTTATTCATTTCGAAAATCAAAAAGGCAAGTCTGCTCATGTCCTCCTCAAACACACATACACGCAGACACACACACAAATACCAGAGTTCATATGATCATAATTAACTGTCCAGTGAGAGTGGGAGGAGGAAGCGGTCTGTGTTCTCCTCCGTGAAGTGGATAACTGTTCAGTTAATCTCTCTCCCACCATTCAGCCACAGCTCTGACCGATCACCACCGCTATCAGGGATTGCTTTTACCCGTTGTCCTGTACTAACTTTATAGTAACACGGCGAGGGAAGTGTCACTGTTACATCAACAGGACTATTTTGGTCCCTGTTTGGACTACTTGGTTTACTTTTGCGCGTGGCAGCATCGGTGACATTCCAGGACTGATAAACGGGACGGACCTGAGCTCTGAACCGACGACGCGTAATCTTAAACCTGAAGAGTTGTTTAAGACGTAATTTGAGGTAAGCGACAACTTCATTTACAAATGAGTCATTTATCACTGTTTGCAGGAGACAGAAAACCAACTACGGGTCTCTAGTCTGACTCTAGTCCGCTTGAGATAACCAAAGTGGTCTGTTTTTTATGCTCTATGTTGGATTTTTCGGTAAAAACGTACTTTTTCCGTGATCTCCACTTTAATTCTTTAATTTCACACTCATAATCCGAGTCATGCGTTTTTAGGGTTCGTCCGCAGCTGACCTCACTGTGGAAGCACGCGCAGCTCTGTTACAGCAGCCTGGTTGCGTTTGAAAAAGTGGGCTGCCGGGAAACACACACACGCGCTCTGGCACACTTGCAAGTATGTGTGTGGTTGTGTTTCATTTGTATACACGCGGCAGGGATGTTAATGGAACATTACCAACTGTTTATACAGGCAAATATTTTAATGGAAATGTGTACTTTCTTCTATTTTATATGTACCTTTCATAGATAAGCATAGAAAACACTTTTCTAAAAAAATAAAAAGTATGGATTTGGGTCAGTTGTTTGCTTTATGGTGATTAGCCACTGAAGGTTTTTAAGGAACCATTATATTTACATTTACATTACTGCTATATATTTCCTTATAGCATGGCATGTTACCTTAACCACGTGTTTTTAGTTCGAAATGTCCTCATGTTAAAATGTTTTTCCTATCATCTTGTCTCTTTTCTCTGTAGTTTCCTTGGTCCAGATCACACTAAACAAAAGAAATATAAAGTATTTAGAAACAGCATATTTGAGCTTTTGGAATTCGAGTTTGGGGTTAGGTAAAGGTCCCCGCTGATGTTACGATAACTCTTTAATAATTCAGAGCAAATGACTCAACACACTGAAAACAGGTCAAGTCAACTGGAGTTTGTGTTGTTGACACGTGTGGGGAGGTGGGTGGAGCTCTTGTTTCCATTCAGGGGGATGCTTTCGATTTATCTCCCTAACCGGCCTCTTTCTCTGTCCTCCAGCCAACGTTGCGTTCTTTCAGTTAGCTCAATCTTTCTTCCATTCTTTCACTCTCTCTTCCCTCTCAGCACAAATCCCCCATCATGCCTGATTACATAAAATGCTTAAACTTTGAAAGCTGAACCAACGGAATTAGCCAGCCAGTGTCTGTGCGTTTGTTGTCACACTATTAACAATATTCGGGGGACTTCCTTGTAAATCACTGCCAGCTGTTGACTGCAGGGTCGTGTGGGGATACGTGGTCCACCACACACGGTCTAATTTGCTTCATTTGGACTTTTCAAACTTGCATAAGTTATCTAGAGGGGAAAATTGGGGAGAATTCCAACTGGAAATCACCCTTTGTGGTTTAGTAGTTGGGCACCAGCACACCAGGGCCCTGTTTGTTCTCATTGCCTTCCAGTGGAAAAAATTAAAAATAAGCTAAAACTGATGCTCTCAATTGGATCTCTGTCTGCAGTCCTCGTCAACCGAAGACATGTTTTCCAAAGCCACTGCCAACTTCCTCCGTCAGATTGACCCTGAAGGAAGCCTCATCCACGTGTCCCGAGTAAATGACTCAAAGAAACTGGTTCCCATGGCACTGGTCGTCAAACGCAACCGCATCTGGTTCTGGAAGAGGCCCAAGTACCAACCGACAGACTTCACCCTCAGCGACTTGTTGCAAGGCGACACGGTGCTCAGCCCTGGTATGTGTGCACATACATACTGCCGTAAATAGAAATGGCTCAAGCTATATGAATGTTATATTTTATTTCACATGCTTCACTAAGTAGATATTTCCCCCACACACCACTTGTGTCGTCAGATGTGTCCGAGACAGAATTCCTGACCTACAAGGGGACGTTTCGAGGCAATCTCTCTGGGACGCTGGAGACGGAGGCTGGCTCTGCCAGCGTCACACTGGAGGGGCGGGGCTCTTCCAAGCTCCAGTCATGTTTTGGCAACCTGAAGAAAGAGGAACTGGATGTGAAGAAGCTGTTACGAGACTCCAGCAGCAGGTGCTAAATACTTCCTTTCTTGATTATTAGCACATTGTGACATAAGAATGACTTCATTATTAATGTGATGAGTACTCTATAAATGTAATTAGACATCAGGCATTTGACACCTGAGACCAGTAACATGCAAACCACAGAGATCAGCCGTGTCATCTTACTTAAATATACTGCACTGGATCTGTCCTGGCTCTTTGTGTTGTTTCTCAATGTGAACACACTCATAGCTGTCTGATAATGACACCACCTTAATGTTACACACATACACTACATTGCCATTGTGGATTCGTACAAACAGTCTCTCTTCTCATCAGGCTGGTGGACATGCAGAAGCCGCTGGTGCAGCAGCTGGAGAAGCGAGCTGACGTGCTGGCGGTGGTGAAGGAGAGGATTCTGACCACCGACTCCTGCTCCATCACCCAGACGAAAAGTGAGCAGTGCATCTTTCAAGGGATTCTCGGGCTGCTGGGCATGCTGGGGAACTCTGTTAAGGTGGGTGTGGGGGTGTGTGGGGGTGTGTGTGTGTGTGTGGGGGGTTTGAGTGTGTGTGTTTTAGGAAATTCCGAAAACATGCAAAATAGCTTGATAGAGTTCCAGTTTGATGTCAATTTATGATTTACTGTTTTTTTATGGGAATTTCTTTATATCTGAAGTAACAGATTATTATTATTATTAAAATTGTTATTGGTGTAATATTTTGGGGGAAAGTTTGAATATTTGTGTTTGTCGCGTTAAGCCGTTCAAATATTTTCAATCCAAAAATATTTCTGTCTGATTTTAAATCACCAGATTTAAAAATCATACTTCTGATTCTGTGTGTGTGTGTGTGTGTGTGTGTGTGTGTTTTATCAGGTGAAGGACAGCAACAACATTGAGGCGGAAAGCGATGTTTCCTTGGAGATCCCCTCTGGTACAGTCATTGCTTACAGCGTCCTGGAACTGGAGATTAAAAAAAATGGGCACTATGGTGAGTTTGTGCATGTGCGCGCTTGGGTGTGTGCGTGTGTGTGTCAAAGCGTGTGTGAGCTTACCGAGAGGCGGACTGACGGAAACGGGAACGTATGAATTACAATGTCACTTCTCCATCCTCTCCAATTCCACCGAATCTTTGACATGCTGTTATTCTGTAGCTTTGCATCTTAAATATTGTGCAAATAGCAGTTACATTAAATATGGCAAAGAATAGGGAAGCCGAGAAGATGGTTATTAAGCAAACATCACCACTTAATAGGAATAGCCATAGTTCCTCATTTGTAGCATCCCACAGGCTGATGTTCATTGATTGTTTTGATTGTGTCTATATGTTTGTGCACCTGTGGGCACATGCATCCATTTGACCCTGTGTGTGATATCTATGAGGTTGTGTGTATTTTCAGATATTTGTCTACAACCTGGCACAATAGGAGGCATTGAGGCCGACTCGCCTGTGTCCTGGCCATCCCATCATTCCTTGGACATGGTGGACGGAGGGTGCAATGGGAAGATGGTTCCAGAGAAAGTAGCTTTGAGCGAACTGCCAAATGGTTTGTGTCCATTCATTCACACGTTTAGCCACTTACTCATTAAATAACCAACTAAATAACTATTTTTGTTTGTGAGGAAGTGAAGCACATTAGAGGAATGATGGAAGTCAAATAGCTTCCCTTTTTTTCTAACAGATGGATTTGTGGATTGAAGGAATTGTTTAGATTGGTTATTTGTTGTGAAATATATTGACCAGCCCTAGTAGCAAAGCCTGTAACTTAAACGACCTATAATACATATGAGCATGGAATTATTGCAACTTTAAAGACAGTACTAATGTGTTTTTATTTGTCTGTCATTGGCGGTAATGTACACCTCTTTATACAGTGATAGAAATGGGATCTTATAATTTTGCTAAATAGTCAGTTTTCCACTCTCAGATTTCCAAATGCAGGATGGTACAACCCCGTCCAACTCACCCATTCGGCTGTAGTATGACATATCAGTTGTTACCAACCCAAAAATAAAAAAACGAGACCAAAGTCAAAGATGGCACACCCCTGCCAAGGTTACACAATCCTCTAAATTTGCTGTGAATCTGCAGTTAATGTTCTCCTGCATTTCAGTCTGCATCAAAATCTTCATGGTGATAAAAAGCATCATGCTTGCTTTTGGAGAATAAGAAGATTCTTGGGAGAAGCCGGACTTTTTACAGCAATAAAAGAGTGCGACCTTTTGAGTTAGGTCACATAATGTGTTCAAGAATTATGGTAATAGGTTGAGCCGACAACAACTCTGCAACTGTTTGTAAGAAAACAGTGTAATATCAAAACAAGGAATGGTTGTATTAGTATTTATATGCCAAGTTTGGTGATTGAATACTATGAAAAATGTGTATATGGAAGGATGGATGTGCAGCATGTTGGTGTAGCGTCAGTTTCAAATCTGATGCAGTATCTCCCGGTCTCCTACAGGATCAGAGGAGATGGACCTCTCTCCTCTAGCAGAGCTCCCCCAGTCACCTCGATGGGCCTTGTTCAAGAGACTCCAAGAGACTCTGAGGGACAGAACTGCTCTGTCTTATATGGAGTGTTTGGTGAGTGACACATGACACCAACGCACCACAGGTCTGTTGTGCCCATGAGTCGGTTTTGGCTCATCTCTACAGGTGACATGTGATACAACTAAACTTACCCCGATGGACAGTCACCCAAAACCTTTTTATTTTATTTAATGACAGTATATCGGCAAACATCTGTGACACTAATTTGAACCACCATTCCTTTTTTCTTTTAAATTTTCTCCATTTTGCCTTCTCTGTGTGTCTCTCTCTCTGTTAGCTGGAAGAGTTGTGCAGTGGGGAAACACTCGATATCGCCAAGCACGAAGAACTGTCGGAGAGTCAGAGAAGATCCCTGTCAGCCCTACTGGACACTCTAAACCCTGCCCGCCTAAACGCAGCTCACCTGTTGGTCAGTGCCATGGAAGGTGAGGGTGAACTCTCGACTGAATAGGGCAACGTTTTCTCTCAGTGCTTTGAGCCAAACAAAGGTAGTACTCAAAAGTAGTTTTCTACAGGTTAACTAACCCTGTTGTGTTTTATTGTTTTTGTAGAGTTGCCTGATCAAACTCTGAGCCTCTTGAGCGAGAGCCGCCCTGATTTTCTGGAGGCCTTCGACGCACTGGTTAGTTCACTTGTTTAATTCACTGCACACTGTTGACTGCATGAGTTGAAAATAGTTAGAATAAGCGAATTTCTCAAAATGTCGAACTATTCCTTAAGAACAAAGTAAGATTGAAGCCTTCATGACTTTGCAAAGAGCTAGAAATCTTTTTGTCAATCATCCATCCATGTATTAATATCTCTCTCACCAGATGTGCAGCTTACAGAAGAGCAGCGAGCCTCTCTCCATCCAGTGTCTTCCGGTCCCGCTGCAAGACAACCAGGCCTTCCAACTGGCCGAGCAGCTGCTCAGCTCCACCAATGTGACACTGAAGAGAGACAGCTACAGGCTGTGGTCGGAGACAGGAAATGAAGCAGGGGTTCTCCCGTTGGTCCTCAGTCTCAGCATACATGGATTGTCCCTGCTGTGCAAAGGGCTAAAGTAGTGGTAGTGTCTGCATGAGCACTTTTGTTGTGTATATGTCCTCCATTTCTTTCTTTATTGTGAAGTTTATTGGGATAAAATCGTATCCTATCATTATGGATGTTTTCATATTGTTTACTATTTTTGAATGTATCATATATATATATATATATATATATATATATTATTTCTATATATTTTTACGACTTAAGCATATTTTTGTATGAAACATGAAATATATATATTGTATGTAATGAATTCTTATACTTTCATAGATGTGTCTCACTCTTTTATAGCTTGTAAACCATTAAGGAGGTTTTTATTTAATCAGGCACCTTACATAAATCTGTCCCAACAAACTATTTATATACAAGTAGTTTTGTATGAATCCAGTTTTACTGCTTTTATTTATGAATGTTTTCGCATGGTGCATGGTGGTTAAACTAAAAAAACATTCGTATATCTTAGCTCAAGAAATATTTAAATGTGGTCGATTTTAAGTTTTTCAAATACGTAAAATTTGATGCATGCCGACGGTACACACAATGATAACATTCATACATTCATGCCTTATTGCTGCAACAGATTTTCTGTTAGACAATTTTAATTATCATGAAAACTATATATTTTACATTCCCTAAATTACTGGTATTGAATACAAAAAGCTACATTGTATTCAAATGCAGTATTGATGTTGTAGACAAAGTGTATTTGTAGCTATAAAGTTTAATGAAGCTACCTGTGCCATGTCCTTACTGCCACTTTCCTATTTGTCCGTTAACATTCTAATTTATTGTTGATTGGAAAAAAAAAAACACGTTTTACTATAAACTGTGTTAATACATTGAGAAAAATATTGCATTTCAATCTCTCTGTTATCACTCTATCGAAGTGTATCTCTTTTGTCTTACAGAAATGGCAAATAAAGCTTTTTATATTGCATGAGAGGTATAACCCAAAGATTAAAAAATGTGTTGCAAAATGACAAATTGCATTCATTTTTCTTGGAAATATTTAAGAAAAATGTTTACTTTTGAGGTTAAGCCCTCTGCTCTGTCAAAAAGCTGTAAACAATACAACTTTAATTTTATTTGTATTGAAAGTCTTTGCTCATTTTAAGAGTGATATTGTTATGACTAAGATCACAAGCAGCATTTGTTTGATGTCAACATATTTGCTATCATACAAGTTGGATTCATTGTTAGAAATCTTACACATTTTTTAAGCATTGAGTGTGTCACCTGAAAATGGTAATGCAGCACAAACCTGAGCTGCAGTCTAAGCATTTCTGCTCAGTGTGCTGTAACATGAAACAACAAGAGAAAGCTGATCTCTTCTGTTTGGGCTCACTTATGCTCAGAATAAACACATCTGACCAGTTTGATGAACCTCTAGTGGAACATGTCGTGTATTAGGGGCCCAATAGTACAGTTTTGCCCTGGGGCCTCCAACAGCTTAATGTGGCCATGCTAGGGAGGTGTATCTGGAAACTTTGAGTTTAGAGAACTCAGGAAACTTCCTGCAAAGCTCTGCTCAATTCAAGAAGTCTAGTCAGTCAGAATAATTGCACATAACTGTATGGGCCTGCAGGTCATTTCATTAAGCTCAAAGCACACTATAGAACTAGGCCTATTTCAAGACTTTCCCCCCCTTCAATTAGAAAATATTTTTGGACTTACTGAAAACAGAAAATTAACTAATGTATAATAAAATATTTGCTGTTAGACAATGAAACAGATAAGCTAAGCTTGACAATCACATTTTGTAGTGAAGTGTGACCTTCTAACAATGTATGATCTGAAGAAACTAAATTCCTGCTCCTGAAAACATTCTGGTCAGTGGAAGAAATCCTGAACGGACGTGCAGTGTGTGTTTTCCAATAGTGAAACAGGAGTGACCTAAACGCCTTGGGCTACTTTACATTAACTCAACTACCACGCGGGGTCGCTGTGGTCAATGTTACGCTTTTTAAAATTATTTATTTGTATATACTTTATTTCAAATCAGTTAAAAATACAATAATCAGTAATAGTTCAAAAACAATGAGGTACATAGAATAATACTTAGATATATACAAAAGCAAATTAACGAATTAAACATAAACGTTTTCGCAGTTAGGCCGGATGTGCAGGATCGTGCCCGATGACGTCAATCTCCTGCGACAACAACCTGTACCTCTTCGCGAGCTGATTAGCACGAAAACATTGGGATCTCGGATAAGAAACGCTGCATTTGAAACGACCAAACGCGGTGTAGGAATGCCTGTGTGCAATTTCTTTCTTCAGGGCCGTTGTCGTTACGGCGACAAATGTTGGAATGAGCATCCGAGAGGAGGAGGAGGAGAAGGAGGCAGAGGAGGCAGAGGAGGTGGTGGAGGATACAACAACAGCTACAACTCTCCTGCTCAGCAGCAGCAGCAGCAGCAGCAGCCTAGAGGAGGAGGTGGAGGTAACGTCCAGGAGCTATAAGTACAACTAAACCTAAACTTGTCAAAGTATTTACGTGACGTTAACTGATCTCCTTTTATGTAGCTTAACGTTTGTTGACATTGCTCCAGGACCCAGAAGCTAGGTTGTTTACTTAGGTTTGTGAGTCACTGTGGAAGACTAAGCGGTAACATTTCTAGCAAGTTAAGCATTTAGGTACTTAATCTCAACCACTTTACATCAATAAGATACAATATTAGACCCTCTCAGTATACTACAAATGAGCAGCACCTCAAACTATCGTCCAAAATGTCCTGAGACTGTCGGTTGTGGGACACACAGTTATTGACTAGTTTTGGTGTGCATGTTGGTTTCAGGTTTTGGAAACAGAGTTTGGGTGAATCCTTCTCAGCAAAAAGGAGGCTATATCCAGCCTTCATCTTTCTCCTCTCATGGAACTGAGGAATGGGGTCGAGCAGGAAGTGGAGGAGCTGACTGGGGTCGAGAAGAAGGAGGAGGAGGGAATGACTGGGGCCGAGGAGGAGGAGGAGGAGGAGGTGGCGGGAATGACTGGGGCCGAGGAGGAGGAGGAAGAGGAGGAGGGAATGACTGGGGCAGAGGAGGAGGAGAAAGAGGAGGAGGAGGAGGAGGGAATGACTGGGGCCGAGGAGGAGGAGGAGGAGGTGGTGGCGGGAATGACTGGGGCCGAGGAGGAGGAGGAGGAGGAGGAGGGAGAAGAGATAACTTGAGCTTCTCTGCTCAAAACAGATTTTCAGCGCTTGCTCCTCCCAGTACCTTTGAAAGGGGGGGAGGAGGACGACAGCAGGTGCCAGCCGGTGAGGAAGATGATGACAAAAAACTGTGAGTCTGTTTGTCTTTCTTATAGTTGTGCAGCACAAAAATATTGAATCTTGTCATCAGGAATTCATTCATGTGACGTCTGTCTCACGGTGACGCAGGGAGATCATCCAGATGGACATGGATATTTGGGAGAGCTCGGGGCAGTGGGGCTTTTCCTGTTATTCTAGCTTCAAGGCACCTTTATCTGGTCTGTATCAAACACACATTTGATTACATGATTCCTGTTGTTATTTGTAGACACTGGACCTAATTATGTTTGGTATTTCTTGTCTACAGGTTTCACTGATCTCTCTCCAGAAGAGCTCCGGCTGGAGTATTACTCCACAAGAGCTTCAGGAGATCTGCAGGGCTACGTGAGTGCACCGTCACGCATTCATCTCACTCCTGATATTGGTTTGTTTGTTGTTAGTCTAAGAATCTCCTGATTCATTTGTTCAGGTTAATGGTATAAATCAGCTGCTCACCCAGTGGAGAAGCAGAGTCCAGGAACTGAAGGTTATGAATCCAGCCACCCGCGCAGCTTTGGTGAGACGCAGACACACACAGTTACTGTCACAATGCTCCCATCTATTATTACGAAGGACAAAAATATAATACATGTTTTGATATTCACTTTTCTTGCAGCTCGCAGAGATAAACAACCCAGCACCTCAGGCAGCTTCGAGTGGCTTTGGTTCGGTGACCGGATTTGGATCGGCTACATCCAGCTTGGAAAGCAAAGGTGAAGATTAAGTATTGCTTTATTGTGACAGTAGAGGAGTAAAGCAATAGTTTAGGAAACCTTTCCTTCCTGAAACGTATCAAAAGAGGCTCCTGCTCCCTGCCAAGACACAGTCAGTTCTTTTATTGCTTTGGCTTTTGTATGGGTTAAAGAAAACAAAATAAATAGTATCCCCACCTCTCATGAAAGCAGGGCTTGAGCAGATGATATTACTACATGTGCTGCCTGAATATTCTGGTCAGGTAAATAAATTGCTAATGTGTAAAATGTTTCTTTCCTGACCATCTAGGCTTTGGGGCTCCAGCACCGGCCGCGGCCAACACGTTCAGCTTTGCTGCTCCAAGCGGTGGATTTGGTTCCTCGGCGGCACTGCCGCACTCCTCCTCCTCCGCAGGTTTTGGCAGTGCCTCAGCGGCTCCTACACAGCCTCCCTCCGGGTTTGGTTCCTCCACTGCAGCCTCCTCGGCGCTCAATGCTGCTTCTTCTTTCTCCTTCGCTGCTCCGTCCACCGACAAGCCGGCAGCTGCTTCGGGATTCGGCGCCGCCTCGGGGTTCAATTTCATCTCGACGCCAAACACCGGGGGAGGATTTGGGAGCGGTTTCGCGGCCGAAGCGCCGGCCTCAGCCGGAAGCGGCAGTATTTTTGGACAGGCGAGTGAAGGGTTTGGGAAGACCGCTGCTCCTCCTGCAGCAGGAGCGGGGACTGCCGGCGGGGCGTCGGACAGTCTGTTTTCACACGAGAGCAATATGACCGCAGAGGAACTGAATCAGTTCAAGGCCAAGAGGTTCACTCTCGGCCAGATTCCTCTAAAGCCTCCTCCAGCCGACATGCTGGTGGTATGATGATGTTGGACAAATTCACAGGGTTTTTGAAATAAACAGATAATTTATACAAAGTAAAACTGTTCTTCTGCATAGTGCTTCTATTCAAATGAAAGTCATTATTACATTTTTTAAAGATATGGCTAATGTTTGTTGTACTAATACTTCAGATCAATTCCAGCAGGGAAAACTTTCTGCGGTTCCAATTATGATGTTTGTGTTTATGCAAAGCCTGCTTCATGTACAGCTGTAGATATTTTTAGATGGAGCTCTATTTTCAAATGATTGTCTTTCGGGATTGTTTTGAATCGGTTTGCCAATTTTACCTTTTCCCCATTTGTAAAGAGGCTGATTGGGAAACAGATCAGTTGATGAGCAAAGTTTCTGAAGGTTTATTTGCATGATGATGTGATCTAACATAATCTATAATACAACAAATCAATAAAAACATGCCTTGAACTTGTTTGGAAACTTTTATCTGCACACAACTCCTGCAGCAATAAGGCCCATAATGTCCTCTTAACTCGAAACGTATTTCACTGAATGTGGAATGTAGAATAATAGAATATCCTCTGATAGTAATCACTGCATTTATCAAAGTTGTAATGGCACAATTTGACCAGGAGAGGGTGTCAGAATACAACCCTAAAAATGAAAACATTAGCCTTTTATTGTTTTCGTGAAGCTTAGACTTAAATAGCTGTGTAACTCAGAAGAGCTAGTTTGTGGCTTCAGGCTGATTCTTCTTCTTCTTCTTCTTCATTGTATGTGTTTTTACTCTCATTGTAATGTGACACTATTGTAACAGCTGCACAGCAGTCTAAAACCATCCATCCAAACCAGCGTGCAGGCCTCCATCCACCTGAACCAGAGGAATGTGTGATAGTGAGTGAGGAAGCTGTTCAATGCGTATTCATTAGATGTTGAACACCCGGTGGGACCACTTGTAGAGGAACACAGCGACAAAGACGCAGCAATAAGCTATTCTGCTGCTATAGGGGCTACGGCTCTGCTGACTGGAGCATGTTTTTTTAGCTGACAGGGATTTTGTGATATCGGCAAGAGGTAAAACTGATCCTGAGCCGCCTCCTGCATGCGTCATGAGTCTGTGCAATCATCCTGAGTCAATATCTCATATAGGTCAAAGACAAGTTATACAATTTTATGTATGTAAAAGGCAACACAGCATTCATTAACTGCCGGCAACAGTGTGCGACACCGTCATTTGTCTCTCCTACTTCTCAGTCTGTCAGCAGTAACTTCCCAACCACCACCTGCTCGCAGATAATGCATAAATAATTCAACAGATTAATGAACAATTGAAAAAAAAAGAGACCTCATGAAAAGGCACTTTCACGCTTGTTTCAGTGGCGCTTGTTTAAACTTGCCATCTGGTGACTACAATTAAACTGATAAATATATATATGTGAATCCGTGTTTCCCCAAACAGCGAATTAAAGAAGATTAATCACTAACTGCTGCGGCATCAAATTGCCATCCTGCCTGTGTTTATGTACTGTAATGTATGCATGAGCTGCACAGGGTGGATCAGAGCAATATTAAAGATGAGGGATGAGTGCATGGCTGCCGGCACACACACACACACACACACACACACACACACACACACACACACACACACACACACACACACACACAAACACTCACAGCAAGACTCCGAATGTTTTATCACTCTGGTGTACATCAAGACCTGTATAGGGTTATGGTGCAACTAAAGAAACGACTCAATTTCACTCATTTGACATGATTTATGCCTGGCCTGGATTTTGAGAGATAACATGTGAGTCGAAATGAACACAGAAATACACACACACACACACACACACACACACACACACACCCATGTTATGTACTGTACACACTGTACTCCACCTCCTTTAATCCCCATCCTGCCCTACCTTCCTGTGAAGTCATAGCTTAGCACAAACCCGGTCACATGACCATGATGTGTGCTGTAATTCAATTGACCGTGACCTGACTCCTGCAGCAAGGACCAGACATACAGCACACTGTATACAGTGCTCCAATATTTTTTTCCACAGGGATTAATTCCCTGTTCAAACTGCATACTGCAGCCGTGTATGTATGTCAGAGCTCTAAATCGATCAATTATTTGAATTATGACTTCTACTTGCAACTATTGAAATATTATCCTCCCTTGCTGGCTTCTACACACATCAACATTTTTTGTGATATGCAGTATAGCTAAATGCACATTACGCTCACTGCTATTACACAGCCATCGTGGTCACTACATCTGCTGATTAACAGCAACAGATGCTCTTAGCACCGCTTGTATCCCCTCTCCGTACAGAATGCCAATGAGCTGATTCGGATTCAATGCCGGCATTAATGTTTGATGGGGCCTGATTCCAGCCGACCCTCCTCGCCGCTGCTGCGGCTGCTGCTTCAGCAGAGAACAAGAATTGATTGTGTTGTGCCACAGCGGTTCACCTGTGGGAAACGGCATTGATCAGAGGCTTGTGATTCATGCCTTTTTGAGTGGCTTGCCGAATGGGTGACTGAGTGGCACATATTTCATGTGCCTATAGCCCTGGACCCGGGTTTCTGTGCTGCAGCTGTTTATGGGTTCATCTTAGGATCAGTGCACCACGTTCTTCTAACACACTGTAGTGAAATTACTGTCAGTACAGAGATTATAGCCTATCGCAGACAAGAGTGGACAGGGCGTGGATCATTTGAACCTTAGTGGCACTAATAGGCTGGGCAGAAAACGATGATTACATTAATTGTATCTGTGTATGCGCTGCAGACGGCATGCTCCCTAAGCTCCCTGTATGCATGTGTTCTGCATCAAACTGCAAAAGACTATGTCTTGCATGTTGTAGTGTAAATTAATACAAATTACAAATACTTTTCAGTGCCCATCATTTCAGATTTTATTTTTTTCTCCAAAGTTACATGACTTTGGTGTGGTGGTGCAGTGCAGACAGAGCAAAATAGCGTTGACTTTGAAAAAAATAAAAAAAGCCCATTCAAATATAGCATATCCTATCTATAAAGTGCTCAAGCTAAATACAGCTATCTCTGTTAGAACAGACACAACTTTCACTCCTGAAGTGGTATAAAACGTCCACAACTCTTAACCGTTACCCAATCTGTGAAATGATCCAGTATATCAGATTCTTAATCCTCCAAACTGATAAAAAAAGATGCTATGCCAGCAGGAGTTGGTTATAAGACACAGGCTAAGATAAAAATGTTTAGATGTTTAGGCTCCACCATATTCCCATTTAAATGTGTGTAACCGAGCTACGACAAACGGGGTTAATAAGGCCTTGCACCTCAGGGGCGCACCTGATTTTAAGGTAAAGTTTGGCGCTGTGGAGTAACCTTAGATGCAGATGTTTTGTTTTTTTAACCAGGCTTTGAACGTAGATACCCATGTGCAATTAACTCGGTGATGTGAACAACCAACACAGAGTCAACATGTATGTTGATGCCTCCTTCTCTGTAACTTAACATGAGATCTACTACAGTATTTATCCACGCTGCTCTCTCTCAAGGCCACACGTTGTCGCTGTTTGCCATGCAGCTGAAATCAACCTAATCTCTCCTCTCCTCTCCTCTCCTCTCCTCTCCTCTCCTCTCCTCTCTCCTCTCCTCTCCTCTCTCCTCTCCTCTCCTCTCCACAGCAGCGCGTCTCTCACACCGCGCCTTTGGATACCGTGTGACACCACCAGCACTACGCGGAGAAAACCGTCCGGCAAACCGCCGTCCAGCACAGCAAACAAATAAAATAAAGCCCAAACGATGACCTTCTTACAGATACGACAGAAGCAAACAGTTATTTGACAACTTCCGACCCCCACACCTTGCCTTCGCCGCTCCTTGCTGTAAGCGGTAAGTGCTCGGATTCCTTTTTTAATTGCAGCGATGGCAGTGCTCAATTTCCTGTACAGGGCAGTTTTAGCGCCGGTGCGCTGATGTTCTGCATAATTATAGCACCAAGTAATAGCAGGTGATCGGTGATCAAGAGGCGCGTGGCTCGAACATGTGCGCAGCAATGTGAATTTGGGGGTTATGGATGTTATATGTATAGGGCCTGTTAGTAGAAGCAACGGGCAACTCATTAGATGTTTAGTGGACTGTAATCGGGGAAGACTGTTTAATACGCTCACCTTTGTTGCTTTAGAAGTCTAGCAATGCAAAGATGGGCTTACAGGTTACAGTTGCATGCCTTCTCCTACTTAAATCAATCTCATTAACTGTTTTAAAGAGATGGTATATACAAGATAATGCACATTAAACCTATTGGCATGGTGATTTCAATCTGACCTACTTCTTTACTTTTACATTTATAGCCTCTACATGTTTGGACATATGCTCCACTGGGATTTTCTAACTACGTTACTCGATGCATGGGAAAATAATTGTTGATTTTTGCCATGCAGGGACAAAGTTCAGCATGTCAGTGTCTTCAACCTTTAATCTAGATCAAGTTTACGTGTAGTCAAATGCATAAAGGTGTTTCAGGATTAATCAGCTATTGCCTGCTACCCTGCTGTAGGTGTGAGCGAGGGTGACAGTTAAGGGAGGGGGGAGAGAATAAGCACATTTTGAGATGCCTTTCCTCTGCCAGAACTCAGGTCAGGCCAAGTGCCTGCTGAGGTGTGAGATTAGATCAGATGGCCGTGCACACAAACACTAAAAAAAAAATATCCAGATCTCAAACTGTGTTCCCCACCTGTGGATGGGGCAAAAACACGTGACGGGGCTTCAGTGCCTCCCGTGTCTTTCTCTAAATCCTGTTAAGCAAATCTGACAGTCTGAAAGCTGTTTAATGTATCTCTGGCATGTGGAATTGTTGGTGTTAAGCTCATAGTGAAAGGCATAAAGTGAGTGCATTAAACTGGCAGTGAAGGAGTGTGCCCTCCTTGGCGCGTTTTTAGGAGACAGAGAATAATTATCCATATGTTTAACTTGAAAATCCTAGCCTGACTTCACACTTTATCTTCTGAATAATCCACTGAGACAGTAAAAGCTGGAAATAGACTCAACCCTGTCCTGTGGAAAGCCATGTTTCCCACATTTGTGTGGATGGGTGGGTGTGGGTGGCAAACCAAGCAGATGTGAGATGCGTAGCACATAAATTCAGAAGGCGAGCAAAACATTGTCCCTTTTGAAATATTAACCAGGGGGAAATATACAGTATGTGCCTGTGTGTCTACGAGTGTGTGTTTCAGTCAGATGGTACCAGATGAGCTGGCTACTCCAAAGGCCAAGCTGACTCTTATGCACTGTATCATCTACCATCAAAGAGTCGCACACACACACACACACACACACACACACACACACACACACACACACACACACACACACTTCTCAAAATTGATAGCTGGAGAGGGCAAAGGCCCTCCAGTGCAGCACACCCACACAGACTCACATATGCACGGACACATGTGACCACACTTCAGATCTGTAGCTGGCAGCTGCTGGTCCTGGTCTTTTAAAATATGAAAATAGAATGAAAACAATCAAGGGGCAGAGCAGACACTTATCATAGTAATGAGCAGGCGTCTTTGTGTGCGTCTGGGTCCACCTTTATGTGTGTGTGCGTGCGCTGTTGTTGTGTTTGGCTGTGTGCACTTGTAGACAACCATCTGCGAGGCACAATTCACTGGCCAACTGGTATGCTTCATCAAAGAGAGTAGCTGTGATTGGTTGATAATGAATGCTTAGTCGGTACTGCGCCTCTTTCCCCACTTCAAACTGTATTTGGTAATGGGATTCTATCGTCTTGTATGGGATTATTCTGCGCACTCGGATTGAATCACATCCACAAGAGTTTAAACCGATGTGGATGTGGGTTTGGTTTTTATTTTGAATTACTCAAAGTCAGGAGATCATCCAGTTGAATGCCGCTGAATTTTTATCAAGCTATGTTGGACTGCAACAGCAGTCTTCAGAAAATCAATTCCTCTCAACCCCTGATATGTGTGGAAAGGCTGCTGCTGCTGCAGCAGAGGTGACCTCCATCATATGCACGAGAGTCACTCCTTGTTAACCCAAAAAACCTGTCTCTGAGAGACAAGTCTGCTATGAAAGAAATTCTACAAAAGGAAGGAGATGACATTAATTAGAAGTAGCTGTGTTAACTGTCATTGCTACCCTTTATGTCGATGTCCAATCAGTGTTGGATGAAGTCCACTGAAGCGATACGTTTCTCAGTGTGTACGATATTGACTGAGAAACGGTTTCTCCTGCTTGCAGAGCCGTGCTGGCAGTGCCTATATGTACCAGGATGCATTCCAAGCAAGCTACTGACACCCAGTCAAAGTACAGTAACATGTACACTGTAATAATCCATAACATCCTCTGCATTCATAGATCTGGATGCCTTTTTCGTTGTTGGAATCATCCCTAGTTTGCAATACGAGCAAATGGAATAAAAAAAGTTCCTTTTTGGCTTCCCAGACAAATCAAAGCAGCCTGCAGTTCTTTGCATCCAGCTATGTCGCTGTCCAATCAAATGATGGCGCTGGATGCAGGAAGAACAACACATCTTGCAGTTGCACCCCAAAGACACTGAGAACATCGGCAAATGCAGGCATTTTTCACACTATATTCCAAGTTCGGATAGAGAGAGATAAGGTTGAAAATCTGCAAATTGTCCCATGAAGGTAATTGTCAATGTGTGTAGTTTATCGTCCTCACAAAGGGCTGCATATAAACAATAGTTTAAAGACATACTGGAATACACAAATCACTTACAACATAATTGCATATTACGATTTACAATGTAGATAATCACAACGGTGGACGACAATTCCAGCCTTGAAATCCATTATATCAATGGCAAATAACACGGACTAACTAATATCCTATTGTTCCAAAAGACCACTATCAGTCTGACGGATGAGCCAAACACTCAAACATGAAAGGAAGATGGGAGAGTTAAACATTGAAAGCCGATAATAGAAGTCTTAAAAATATAAGCGGGAAGAGAGATATATACGGCTCTTATCTTGTCCTCCCTCAGAAATCTTGCTGCATTCCAATGCACACATCCCTTCCAGAGGTTTAGCACTGAATAAGACAGGGAGGCGAGCTTTGGTGGACCACAACAACCCATGCTGTCTAAGCTGGGACCCGGTGATCCAGACATGGTAAGTGGGATGAGAGTCAGTGTGCTACTCCACCTCAGGGGGCAGCTACCAGCATCCCAGGTGGGGTGAAGAGATGCGGCTGGGTGGCTTATGGGCAGTGAGAGAGATGTCACTGACCACATTAGTCACCATGAGAAAGCCGGCCATGAGTCAGGAAATCTCCCAGTCTCATCCATCACACCCCCCTTAACCCACTTTCCTTCCAGTCCAGCCACTTCGGCTTTTTTATTTTTCTATTTTCTGCGAGCTCTCCATCCCCCCTTTGCTGCTGACAGAGTACAACTTCATCATCCTTCTTTTGACGGTGATGAAAAGGAGAAGAGGGCACACAGAGAATTGATTAGTGCTGGACGGCAAGAGATGAGAGCGCGTCGAGATTTAGGGCCAACCTTTTGGAGTGCAACAAGGGGAACGGGTAGGAAACGGATTTTACATTTGGAGAAAATAAATATAAGTTAAATAAATATAAGTCCCCGCAGGGAGACAGAGGAGATACCACAGTGATGTAGTGTGTCTCATTTTCACACCAGATTCCCCACGGAGGTGTGTAGAGAGAGCTCCTTTGAGCTGGTGAGACAGCTGTGGGGTGATAAGTGATGATACGAGACAGGTCTCACTTCTCAAAAAAGGCTGCTGGCTGAAATCCTGGACAAGGTTTTTGATTCACCGCTGAGACAAAAAAAACGGTGTATTGCTAGCTCAGCTGTGGAGGGGTTAGTGTGGAATTTGGGCGAAGCTAGTGATGAGTGATTCTACACTGTACTCACCAAGTTAATAGCTGAGATCTTGGGAATGGAGCAAAAGTGCAAAAATAAAGGTCCGATAGGGGTTTAGATTTCAATTGTCGCTGTGGTAGAGAAAATGTAAATCTTTGCCACCCTGCCGTAGCCGATGCAACACGATCCAGGCAATCTGTGTGAAAACATGGTGTGACGGATCGAATTTCTGTCTGCTGTCACAAGGTGATGTCGAGGGGGTGACTCAATGACTGACCTCATTAAAGATTTTATTGGATAATACATTTGATTGGGCCAAATAGGAGAGGCAACGCAAAAGCTCCTCATCAACTCCTTTTTCTGTTAATTTCACGGCTGTTGGCATTTGATTCAGATTTGTGTCCGTGTGTGTGTGTGTGTGTGTGTGTCTGCACCGGGCGTACAATTGCTCTGAAGAGTGTGAAATGGGAAATTTGTGAATATCTTATGGCGATTTGACTGTATCTGGTCAGTTATTTTTCTGATACACCGTTCTCTCTTGGTCAATGTGATAGAAGAAGAAGAAGAAGAAGAAGAAGAAGAAATCAAATCTGTGTCATAGCCGAGTGTTTTACAGAAGACTTGGGTGTTAATTCAAGTTCATCAGCCAAGGCATCGGACCCCTGTCGTTCAACATTCCTCTCTCTTCTGCCACACTCTGGCACGTACATTCAGTACAGCATATGTGTGTTTGCACTGCGCTGGATTTTGTGTGTGATCCATTTGGCTCTCAGTCCCCCCCCCACAGCCTGGCACGCTTTACTCTGTGTGTGCGCGCGCGCGTGTGTGTGTGTGTGTGTAGCTGCAACGCCAGCCTTCGGTTTTCTCGCCTAAACAGACCCCTTATGATCAGAGAGAGGTACATCAGCCACACACACGACACCAGGCACAACACAATGGCAGCAGGCGCCGGGCCGACACATACAGGATCATAACCTATAAGTATCCATGGTGGCTTCAACAGGAAGTGAGTTACAGCTCCTGCTTGTCCGTGTGCACTGCCGTGCGACTGTTCATCGCAAAGTTATTTTTAATTCTAGCTATCTTTTCACTTGTGCACTCCATTTCTAGTTGCATGTTCACAACATGTCTAGGATGTAACATGTCAAATAAATCAATGATCAGAATATGCAGTGTCATACATGTTGTAACAACATAGTAGTAACATGATATATGAGAACCTCACCAATTGTTTCTTTTTAAATCAGTTTCTTGGTCATGTTCTCACGGCTTGTCTTCTGCACTGAGATTAATAATCTAAGCTACATCCTCCTTAAACTGTACAATATATTAAATGTCCTGTATCCTATAGTTGGGATTTTGACACCAATTACCAGGGAAGAATGAAGGAAGCACACCTGGGAAACGCACACTAACAGGTGTTAGGCACACCTAACCTAACCTAAAAACATCAGCTCCTTAATTTAATTACAAATACAGACGTGTCAGCCAGGACGGCCTTAATCAAATTAACAGTGACACACTGGCTCTTCGTGGTAAACAATGGTGGTTGACATTCAGATAACCACACATGGCATCTCGTTCAATAGAAAGAGATGCGGATTATTTGCAATTTATCTGATGACATTTGACCAATGTCCAATGACCAGTGCTGATAGATATTGTTTTTTCTCTCTGTTCATTTAGCTATAACTCGGGTGCATTCACTCTCGGCTTGGCAGAGACACATAGCAAAACATCCACCAGCAAACACAAAAAAACACCAAGTGTAGGCAATGAGTAAAAACAGATTAAAGAAAGGTAAAAGCAATGAATAAGAACAAGTTAAAAAATGTTTAGACCTTCAGTATATTGTTACCATCTACTTTGCAGCTAAACTGTAGGTTAATTAAGTGACCGACAGTGGTAATGTGGCCTGAATAAGGCAGCATATTTTAAAGAGATCATTAATGCATCACTATCTATATCTAATTACAAGGTTTTTTGCATTTGTGTTTATGCGAGAAACCGAAAGGAGAGGTCACATTTCTACCCTTAGCTTCTCTGCATCAGCTTCCACTGACCGCACGCAGTCCTGCTGAGCTTATTCACGCTGAAAATCATGTCTTGTGGTTCTTCTGCAGATGTAATATGACACCAGGGAAGAACAGTCAGGGTCCCCCCACCCCCAACCTTTGCACGCGATATCACGAGATCACCCGATAATCCGTCTGGTCAGGTTTCAAGTTCTGCGTTTGCGTGTGACGCCAACGAGGGACGACTGTTCGTTCTAAACAGCAAATAGTCCACTCTTAAAGACGTTGGCGTAGATACTGCAATAGCATCAGTTATATGAGAACTGGAGGGTGACGGGTGTGCTGACGGGAGGAGAAATAAATGAGCTCTGACATGAGATGTTAGGGAGCACAGAGACGTACAGGGAAGCTGTCTGGCACAGAGATGAAGATAGATGGGCTCCTGGTTGTACTCTTCAGTCCTGCAAAACACAGTGTGGGGCCCCTGGTACATGGTGGCATCTCCAAAGATTGTTGATAAAGAGTACTCATGCCCCACTCTAACAAAACAAATATTACATTTTCTTTAGTGGTTTGATTTATAAGCTGTGGAGTTCACACAGCACAGGATAACTCTTTAAAAGCTGAGAGATGTTTCGTCTCTATTTATTCTGCCTTTGCTGCCCAAGAATAAATAAAATAAATGTCCTTGTATTTGTCAACTGCAACAAAAGGGGTCATTTGTCAGTGCAGTCCAAACTGACCATGACTGAAACGATTCACTGTCTGTCTTCACTGTCTGAATTATTCCTTTAAATTGATGAATCTCTACATGACAAACTCACAACTAAGCAATGAAACCGACATAGTTAGATGTCAAAATATATATACAGTATATACAGTACACCTAAGTTCACCCTATTTCACTTTGGTGCCAGAGAGAGACACACACACACACACACACACACACACACACACACACACACACACAGCCTGAGGATCTCATCATTAGGAGGAGAGGAGGAATGGATGCATGTTTCAGTAGTCTTCTCCCTCTCCTTCTCTTTCTCATTATTTCTCACAGATCAGGCCCCAGCTACCTGCACTTCTTTTCCTCCTTTTTGTCAATTCATAATGAAGCATCTTCTCCTCCCACATCTCTCTCACTTGGTCCTCTCCGTCCTCTTAGCGCTCTGAAAGCAGAATGAGTCTATTTGTCTATCTTCTATCGGCGTCCTACTAGATCCCTCCCCTACCCTCATTTTATCCGGCTCTGTTCGCTGCGTGTTCAAAGCACAGCGGGCCCCCCCAGAGAGAAGTGTGCATGGGCTGGAATAGAGAAGAGAGGGCGAGCGGGGAAGAGAGGGAAGGCAAAAAACGAGAGGAGAAGAATATAAGGGCATAAAGGCTGAATTTTAGATTTCAACCCCCCCCCTCCCTCTCTTTCTTTTCCCCCTCAATATCCTTTTCTACTCATAACAAATGTCACTGCGGTAGCTCTGTACAAAGCATGCGGTATTCCACTTGGTTTATTCTGAGTTTCATTACAAAATGCCAAAATGTGCCCTTTGCTACGTCAGTTCAACGTTCCTCAATAGCACCCACTTCAGTTATTGTAGTACGGCGAAATGAATCCCGACAAAAAGTGGTGGTGAGCAACACTTTCTTGGTCCGTAAGCATCGCGGCCGTGTTGGTGTGACAAAGCAGGGCAGAGATGATGATTTACCGAGACATCTGAAGCACAGGGCATTTACATCTTCAATTTAAAAAATGCATTAAGGGCAACTTCACTACTTTATATGTTTTATTTATGACTTGCAGTCTTAGGAGTGAGTGTTTTAGTAGAGGAATTTGTGCACCGTTTCCTGCACTTAGTGGTGGATTATGTAAAACTGATGTCTTTTAGTCACGTCAGAAACATGAGTCCAGAGATTGCCTTCATAGGCAAAGTTAGCTGGGAAATATGTCTCTCCATAAAATCTAAAATAGGTCCAATACAATTATTTATTTTGTATATATTTTTGAGTTAAAACCCAGATGAGACAAACTCCCCCCAAAGAACATAAAGTAGTACACATTACGAAGAAAGGAAAAATGATCTTTAAATATTCACTTTGAGTTTCCGATAGAGCTCTAACATCGGCTTCGACTTTATGGCAAGCTTGGCGCTACTGTCTTCTATTGTTGTCTGTAGCTGATACACGTAACGCGCCACGCAATAATTAGACTGTGTACCCGGGACACGCTGGCCATCGGGAAGTTCTGGAAGAACCCTGAGCGGCCGATCCACTCCAGGCCGAACCGGCCGGTGGTCAGAGAGTTTATTTTTCAATTTCTGATGTCAGTAGTAACTGTAGAGGCCTCGGCTTGAATTTGAATTCGTCCAATCCTTTTTTGACCAAATACCTGCGAAAACTGAGTCGGCCTTAGCTTTAATAGCTTATGTTAATTAGCAGATGTTAGCATGCACACTAAACTAACTACGATGCTAAATATTATATCTGATAAACATCAGCATATTTTGCATTGTCATTGTTAACATGTTAGCATTGTGCCTAAGTACAGCTTTACAAAGCTGCATGGCTGCAGGCTCTTAAATGATCGTGCATATAGCGTGTGGTGTATTGAAGCATACCAGCTGAGCTGGAGTCATGGCATCAAACATATTTTTGCGAGGCACTTATTAAGTACGCTCTGAAACAGATAAATACTGCATTGCTGTACTTACTGTGTAAAAAAAACAGAAAAAAACAGGAGAAGAAGTAAACGTAGAGCTGGGGCCGTAATGGTGAAGCAGGTGGAAAGAGAAGTTATATGGAAGATAAGTAGTAAAGAAAGAGAAATAGTTAAAAAGAATGCGTGTGGAAGCAAGATGTTGGCCACAGAGCGTCTCCATCTTTAATGTGCCCTCGCGCGGTCGGTTTAGCCTCAGCATAATCACTCTGAAGTTGGGGAAGAGAAGGGGAAAGGAGAGAAGGAAAAGAGTGAAGGAGAGGAGGACATTTTGACATGTCACATGAGGAGTAGCACAGGTGCAAATAATAAAATGAATGACGGCTGCATGCTGGCCCACTGTCACACTGTCACGGCTTACTGGGACACTTGAATATAATGGAGCCATCATTAAGCTATTAGTAAGAAACCCTCTGCTTTTCCCCCTGTGACGAGTCAAGATGTCTCCCGTGAAAATGGCCTGTTGTGACAGTTGTAGCTCTGTGTGCAGATATTAAAAAGTTTATCAAAGTAAAGTGAAAGGTGTGTCCTCCAGGGATTCAGCCAGCCATTGACTTGAGCTGTATACTTTATCATGTGTCACTGTTTAAGATTCTAAAAACAACAACAACACACAAGACTAATACTAGCTGACAGGGTCACCCCTCAACAGCAGGCCAGCCCTGACATTTGTGTGTGTGTGTGTGTGTGTGTGAGTCGAGATGTTTCTTAACTCACTCGAACAGTCTGCTGCCATCTGCACTCTCCTCGTCTGCTGTCCTCTGTGTTCTTTGCTTTTCTGAGTTTGCAAAATTATCGGAGATCAGCAACACATTTTTCACAGCTTTTCACTCTTTATTTGTCTTTTGTGGAGTAGGAAGTCATTTTCTGCTGCCTCTGCAATAAGTGGGGAATTAAAATGAAAGCGTTTGAGGTTGGAATTTAAACTCAATGTCCTGTAAGACAAGCTACTATTCTGTTTTTCAGACACACTGCACACCAAGATGCCCCTTTTTATTTGAGCTGCCCTTCAACCCCTCCTCTCTACTTCCACCTTCACCTTAACATCCGTTTTTTGTTGTTCCCTCCTCAGCCCCGCTCCATCTCCGCGGTCCCGCCCCCCCCCCCCTCCAGCGGGACCATGATGCTCAGCAGCTCTGTGGAGGTGCCCAGCCCGGGCGGGATGAGCGGCCTCGGCGGGCTGAGCGCGGCGGCTCGGAACGTGGTGCGCTCCTCCAGCATCTCGGGGACCATGTACAGCCTGGAGAAGAGTCCGGGCGGCGGGGGCCCGGACTCCACGTCATTGGCCGGCAACAAGAAGCGGCGCTCCAGTCTGGGCGCCAAGATGGTGGCCATCGTGGGGTTGTCGCAGTGGAGCAGGAGCACGCAGCAGCTCAACCAGCAAGGTCAGTTAACAGTTTGAAATGATTCTGTTGGAGGTAAACTCTTAAGATTAAGTGTCATTTCTTTCCTCTACGATGCTCTACATCCCAAGATAGCTTCTCTCTTGTCCTTTTTTTGCCACCGTTTCAGCTTTAGGTCAGTGTGACTTTTTCCTCCTTTTGTCCCTTCGCCCACTCCTTTCCTCATTATCCTTCCTTCCATTCTTCTTTTTTTTTGTCTGCTTCCACTGTTTTTGTCTCCCTTTCTCTTCTGCTCTCCCCAGCTTCAGTTTTGCCTATTGGCTAAAGTGTGGGGATAACAATCTTTTGTTTCAATTTGGGTTTAGATTTAAAGCATCAAATCATATTTATTTCCAAATGAAGATTAAATTCTTAATTGGCAAGACATTTAATCATTATCCTGGCTTCGCATTAACATTTCAAAAATACTCCTGCTTTTTAAAATGATTAAATGTTTCCCAGTGCAGTGAGATTGTTAAACTAATGCCTACACTGTTTGTTTCAGTGAATGCACAATAACATTAGCATAATCCACTCCAAAGGGTACTTGATGGTGCACTGCCACCTGTAATATCTAATTCAACAAGCTCTCACTGGCTTCACCTTTCGTGGTATTATCGATGTAATTAGTTGTTGTTTTTTTAAAAGCCTGCAGCACTATTGTGTGTTTAACTCTGTAGCAGCTCGTGTGCATGGTGGCTGTTTGTCAATGATAGCGGCGCTATGTTCTAGTATGGGTCCTGTGTGGTGTAATTACAGAAACTGTGCAGCTGCAACAAAAGTGTCTCTTGCTTTGTGCCTCAGCAGCGTACGCAAACCCAGTCCCTCCTGGTGGGAAATAGGAAAAACAGGTCGCACGTCGAGGATTTGGTAAAGGCTGAGAGGCGGGGCCAGGAGGAGCAGGGGATGCTACACATTTCAACGCAGTTCAATTCTTTAACAAGGGCGTTGTTCAGCTTCTAGCATGCCATTAGCACATTCTGCTTCTCCTTCCAATACGTTGAACTGTCAACTTTTCAGAACGCTGTCTTTCTGCATGCCTGCTCGCTCTGTGGTTGTACAGTATGTACGTCTAATTCTGTGAGAACATTCCGTCTTATTACTGAGGGTTATCTAAGCGTTGCTGCTTCCTGCTTGTGTAGCAGGCTGGGTACGGTTTAAAAGCATGTTCATTGCTGGTTTAGGATTCCCGAGTTTCTGTGCCAATACCAAAAATGATACCTGGTGTATATAAATACGATTTTCAAAAGTAATTTGATAACTCTACAGTTATTTCAGTACTTTTTCGTGAACAATGCCACAAATGAACTTCACTATTTTCTAACATTTTACAATTTAAAATGGTTATATGGTTAAAATATCTCCTCAAGGAATTAGAAAATAGATCTTAGAATCTGACAAAGCAAAGTTCAACGTTAACTTTCAATACTTGGCAGTTTTTCGCTCCTTCATGCTAATGTCACAATTTCCTAGTAGGAAAGCAACTCTGTCCATCTTTGAATGATCTGAACTTCTCACATAACTTCAGTCTTCACTGGATTTTGAGAATAAATACAACCAGACCATTTAGGTCCGTCTCTCTACTACTCTCTGCTCTTCTCATGACGGCTCTGACATGGTCCCCGTGTGCCTAATGGACGATGAACTCAGGGACACATTCACAGGCACACGCACTCACCTTAATCCTGTTTCATTATGTTGTATCATTACCTGCTTCTGTCTCCCATTTGTGTGAGGATGGCTGTTGCTCCCGTACTCAACACACACACACACACACACACACACACACACACACACACACACGCGCGCGCGCTCGCACAAAGAGCTTGGTGCACTGAGGCACAGCTGACACTTGTCTGACGCAGGAAGAACTGTCGATATTTTCACCACAGGAGCTTTCATGTCTCTGTGTTCGTGTTGATGAGGAGAGCACAACGGAGGGAAAAGTGTAGATGAGGAGGCTAGGAGGGGCTGAGGATGTAGAGAAGAGGAGACGAGTGGTGTGTCTAAATTTAGATGTTCTCAGCTGCCAGAAGAACACATCATAGCCTGGAACAAAATCACAGGATCATGCACAGCTCGTTCCTTTTCCATCTATATCACATCTTGTTATAGCTATATCATCGTGAGATCCTGCATGATAGTTTTCTTGGAACATTTGGGAAAAAGAGAGCATTGGTATTGGATCTGGACTTATTATAGAGTTTATTTGTATTTGTATTGGGGGAGAAAAAGGAGGATTGATTCAATCCTATTTAAAATTTGTCTCAGGTAGGCTAAAGACAACAACAACAAGGTTTCAATTGATTTAATTGTAAATTAAATGACAATCCAGGTATTTTATGTAGATTATTTTACGTAATATCCATCCAACAACAAGTCACTGTTCTACTCGTTATAAGCTGTTACCTCACAACTTTACTAGGCTGAGCCTGGAAATTAGTTCCTGGAGACAAACAAAGCTGTTTTCTCAATGACCCAGAGAGGCCGAAACGGGCAACCACAATCTGTGGTTTTCCCTACTTTATAATTTATAACCAGCTAGACGGACAAAAGGTCACACAGACAGACAGACAGAGTGACAGACAAACATTCCTCCTCGCCCGGTCGGGTTCCTTTAGGGTCCCTCTATGTGTTCGTTCCTGGCGTTACCGGCCCTATTTGGTCAGCTGTCGCTGCTCCGTGGACCGAGTGATACGCGCATCGATTGGTTAACGGGGCGGGTCGGCCCAGGTGCTGGTCCCTGGCTTCGCTCGGTGGGTACTCGAAAAGCCACTGTTTGAATTGTTACCCAGAGAAGAGATGTGTGAGGGAAGTATTTTGGATTTCGGGTTAATTTTGCTAAACAAGAGACAAACTAACCATATGTCTTGTTGCCGTTGATTGATTGATATTATTGAATAACTTGCTGTTGTATGTTATGGTGGTTGCAAAGTGAACCTTAGGGGGGAAATGAGAGACCAAAGCATCACTGAATGAATGAAGAAGTATAGAGAAAGTTAGTGAACACTGAGGAGGCTGAAAGAGACATAAAGAAAAACGACAAAGTGAACGGAGACAGTTGGGTGATATGTCAGCGTCTCACCATTAAAGGGCTATTAGGAGGTAATGTGGTTATGGTTTTGTTATTGTGTCAGAGTTCCTGCAGGGTATGTTCTAGCCGTGATCAATTTTGTGAATTGGATCCAGTCAATTTAGAACTATCGTCAGAATCTGTCCCGTTAAACTCTTATGCAAGCAAGGAAGTTTATTTGAAAAGGAGAATTCCTGTTTTCTATTTGGTAAAGCAGCCGTTATCTGTCCTCGGATAGTAGAGCCTTTCTCATCAGAGGCTCTTAGTTGGCTTTCAACTTTTGGCAACTTTGGTTTGATTTTCTTCCAATAATCTGGCCTTTTATAGCAGTCCTCATTAGGGGTGAAACGATACATTCACAATATTTGTAACAATGATGGAATGTATTCACACTTTTTCTAACAAACTTAATTCCGTCATACATCTAAAGCTTTTTCCATTGTTCCATATCCCACTGTACACAAATAGTAAAAATAATTGAGTAAATGTCTGAACTGATTCACAGCATTCTGCGTATTAGGAACACAAACTCCAATGGAAACATCTGCACACAAATTGACCTTCGATGTCCAGGACAAGAACATTTCTTTAAGACTTGTCAACATTTTTCGACAGCAGCTGAGACCTCTGACAGTTCTTAGTGTTAACGGTCATTACTCAGATTATTTTCATATTAACAATCCATTTGGCATCTCAAAATTAGGGCTGGTCAATGAACGGATTGTTTCACAAGTAGTCAGTTTACATGCTTTCCTTCTCTTCTCCTCTTCTCATGGACCGTTTACCTGCATTCAACCAAAGACTGCTCAAACATGATCAAAACTGCTCGGACTACGAAACCAGAATGCTTCCAATGCCAGAATCTTGTCCCGTTGCCTACAGATGCACGTGACTGCAGAAACTGATTGAGATTACTGTAGAAGGTGTGCTTCCATATTTAGACCCTTTGATACGGGCTATTTTCCTGCATTCCTACTAAGATGATGTTTGTTTTTCTTCCACGTCTTACCTCAGTTTTCCTGACGTAATTCCATTCATAGCCCCCACTCCCACTGTGCCGTTGCCTCATTATTCTGGGTTTTGTAACAGGCGAGTGTTGAGGATGGCATTTTAATCTGCATTCTATTTATTACCTGCTATTATTGGTATCGGTGAGGAGAAAGCACACACACACACACAAACAAACGGTTTCCCAGGTCTAACGGGTGACTCACTCCACCGCTGAACACGGCCTTATCCTTGACTTATCACCTCAGTGCTCCATTTAAACCCACTCAACACCCATCCTCTTTATTTTCTCAACCTCCCTTTTGAATTCCTTTCAAATGCTCTTTATTTAAATCTTTCCGTCTTCTCTGTGTGTATTTCTGTGGTGATGTAGATACTGTTGGAAATAAACCAGAGACACTGAAAAGAAACAGACACAGGGAAGGAAAAATGTGACACAGGAAGAGAATACTTGTTTGTTTTGCTTATTGAATTGATTCCAACTTTGTCCTGAGACCAGTAGCAGACACATTGTCAGACAAATATCTGAGTTGGCTGGAACTGGAACTGTACTTCCAACCTGGGAGTAAAGATGTGTGAAGATGCTTTAAACCATTGCCGTTAATGTTAACGTGCTTCTCTTTTATTTTGCGTTTCAATAAAATAGCACAGGTGTTTCTGTTTTTATTTGCCTGGCGGTAAAAAAAAACTGCTTCATTCAGTGTCACAAACCAAAGTGCAGTGCCATGAATTTTATTCTGTTTTGTTGCCAAATACTAGGAACGAAATCCCTTTTGTAAGCTTTGTTTCTGTGTGTGTGGAGCACATTTACCGAAGCGATGCAGCTTTCTCTACTACAGAAACTCATCCAAAACAGCTTGGGATACAATATGCTTATGTATGCTTGCATAAATGCTTGCAACATAAATCATGATATCTGACT